ATCAGTTAAGTGTTAGTTTGTGAATTTGGTGATAGTAATTGGGAGTTCAATCCCTAGGCAGGGTAGTACAGTGTAAGGGTCAGAGGAAGCCAAAAATGGAATACTGCTGCTATACATGGGCAGGATTTGCTCAACCTTCACTTTCCAGTCTCAATAGGGTCCAAAAGCATCTACATGGCCTTGCAGGTGATGAATGGTTTTTCAATCATACAACTCATTTTGCCAATGACGAAATGTTGCAAGTTTCTTGCTGCTCTATCACTATTTCTATGGAAAGTCTTCAGGCAAACTACATTCCCTAGTTCCAACAGTTCTAAACTTCACGGATAAGATCCGCCATGTCAGGCACATTGTCGCAAACCACCGTCATTCCCTTTGTATTCTGTTGATGAGATCAAAGTTCCACTTGAACAGCATCTTCCCACAAACTATATTGCTAAAGTGGGTCTGGAGTGTATGATGCCTAGAGAGAAAAGTAGAAAACAATCAAAATAAGGATGGGGGGGGATAACAGAATTCTATGGTTACTAACGAGTGGTAGATACTAAGTAAGATTAACCAAGATCATAATAAACGGCAGGGACTAATTTGTTTTTTAGTTTACTGCAGGTAAAAACAGCAACTAGTGTGTGTGTATATAAGTGAACATTGAAGTCAACACTCAAAGGCGACAGGCTGTTTCATGCTAGATGGAATTGTTAGGCAGCATGAAGATTGCGTCTAGCATGAAACAGTCTGTCGCCTCCGAGTGTTGACTTCAATGTTCACTTTTATATTTACATACACTATCTCTATTTCTGATATTGAGCACTTTATCCCATAAATATAGCACACCTTAAAACTATATTTCTTCGTCTTTTTATTTATTTATTTTTATATATATTATGGATGCATGGCCAAGTGCTTAGGATGTTCACTTTCTGACCCTGAGACCTGGGTTCAAATCTCGGGCCATGGACAATTTGTCAGGAAGACGACTTCCTGATCTTATCAGACTGGATTGAGATTGATCCCAGCATGGGGCACCTTTGGAAAGTGCCTGAAAACCATACCATGAGTTGAAATTGGGTAGATGGAACTCTTATGGGCCATCGATAGCTGTGCTAGCACAAAGCCATCGTGCCCAAGGGCTTGAGCATGCTGGCCTTGTTCAAATTGTTGATCATGCTAGATATAGTTGCAGTATAACCCACAGGTGGGTTCTGTGGGTGTTGAACAAACACAAATGTGCCTGGGCGAGCGTCTGCAATGGGGATTGGGTAGCTGCCCTAGTAGAGGAGTATCCTTGAATACAAGTGGCCAGCTATTATATATATATATATATATATATATATATATATATATATATATATATATATATATATATATATATATGTATGAGACAACTATTTTCAAAAACATTTCCAATGTCTTTTTGGTTCAGCTTCTTCAGGTTGGAATGAAAGACAAAACTATGAAAATACATTGGGATTTTTCAGAGGGGTAATGTTATATAGGAATAAAGTGTCACTGCTGACACTGGGGTTCGAACACAGATCATCATAGAGCAAACACAGGCAATCCCATTTTGAATAAGTAGATCACGTGATGGTAAAGGAAATGTGTATATATATAGGAATTAGTGTGGCGTCTACGTGATCATTATACGGATCACTATATGGATTACTATTTGGTGGTTACTTTTCGAGTGAGTATTATCGAACAAGTACCATTAGTGCGAGTACCATTTGAAAGTGTCTGACACCTGTATTATTCAACGGCATACTATAGTTGTATCAGTGATTACAAGGTCTACTATAATGAGCATTACGAAAGTGACAATGAGTATTTGTTGACGTTACAAAAGTGGCAACGAGTGTTCATCGACATCTCAAAAGGTAATAAATTAAATTACCTAATTTGATTGTCAGAATAATCAGGTAATTTAATTTATTGTTCCTCTTATGTTCAAAAATCCCAATGCATTTTTCTTACACAGTTTTGTCTTTCATTATGACTAAGAAAAAAACCCCAAATAAAACACATTTGTAACCTTTTCCACTTTGTCTCTTGTAGCATTATACATCCTACAAACAAACAAACACACACACACATATATTTTTATTAGTAAAAAGTAAAAAATCTAGACAGAAATAGTATAACTAATTCTAATTTCTATTCACCCCCTCTATATCTCTTTACTATATTTATAAACTTTCCCCTCCTCTAAGATCTTCCCAACCCTCTTCCCATTAATCCCTTGCATCTTTTTATCTTTTAAAGTTATTTTTAAACCCCTTTTTATTCCTCATTTAATTTTAAATTAATATTTCATTCTTCATATAACTCCAAATTAATTTTATAAGTTTAACATCTGGGTTTATTTTTATAAAACGTCTTCCCTTTAAGACAAATACCTTCCACCCTCCCCTGACCTCTGACTCGTGCCTTTCGTCTGACTGAAACATTGAAATGAATAAATTCTGTATTAGTTTTTCGACTGTCTTTTTTTTTTTTAGCTTTCACAGTTAAATTTCTATTTCGGACACAAACTCAGTCCACGCCAGGGTTGATGAGACAAATGACCCGTGTTTTCACCTGCCAAAATGGGCTATTCACCATATGAGGTGATTTTGGATTTTATTTATTTTATCCATGTATAATAGTATATGGGTGTAGACACTTTATAGATTGCATAGATGCTACTCTTGGATACTTTTTAACTTTAGCTGCATTTCATGACCGTGACTGTTCTTGCTGCCATATTTTTTTTGCCTTTTCACAAATAGAGTTGGGGCAGCAGGATTAATTTTATTAGATGAAGCATTGTCAGCCATTTTTAATAACTTTTAACTAGTATTTATGCAAATGCTTTTTACTGCAACCTTTGATTGCCTGAATAAGGCCACAATTAAAAAGCAGCTATGATATTATAATAATTAACAATGCATAGTTTAATAAAAAAAATCATTTAAATAAAGCAATTGAAATTAAATGAATAATGGCCGATGTCATCTAATAAAAATTACAGATAATATTTCTACCATTAATACTGCATAAAAATAAAACAAATGAAACCAAAATGAAATAGAGAATCAAAAATGGCTGACAAGACTTCATTTAATAAAAAAAGTATGTCTGCTGCTATTTGTTTAATGAACTGTGAATTTTTTATTTTATTTTTGCCAGTTTTTATTATCTTTATAAAATCGTGTAAACCCCCTGCAAGTAATTGTTATTGTTTAAATTTGTTTTTAATTTTTTCTTCCATTATCCACCAATTAAGAAATCAGCATACACTGAAATAAAAGATAAGATTTAAACCTGCAACTTGTATTGTTCTAATGCTTCCCTGACAATGACTTCCTAACATAGTGCCTTGCTAATTTACCTATAGAGATAGATTAGCAGACATAATTCTGATTTAGTTATATGCCTACATTCTGCCTTATCCAATTTTTTTCTACAGAATATTGTTTGCTTACATCTTGATCTAATAGATATACTCATCTTACCAGGATATACGAGGTGCATTCAAAAAGTATCTGACTATTTCTTTTCCACCAAAACCAATGATCCACGGGCAAAATCCTTTGATGTCACTTCCTGTACATATGTGAAAATTTTCATGCTGGTTGGTTGTGTCAACTCTCAGCTGTTATGCCTAGAGTACTGACGTGTAGTGCACACTTGTTAGATTTTCACTTTCACACAAGATGTCATGGAAGACTGTGAGCAATCTCCTGGATTGTTACACAACAAAGTGGGAATAAGCACCAGGATCAGTGTTTTTCCATTTTAATAGAGGATTTGTACATGTTGAGAGTGTCAGTAAAATTCGCCTGTTCACTCTGCCTACATAATCCAAGCTTTCCTGGCCCACATTTTTGACAGGCTCTCTAGTCTCCCAATTTAGCACCATGCGACTTCTGGCTCTTCCCCAATTGGAAATCCCACGTTGAAAGGGAAGTGATTTGAGTCGCAAGAGGAAATTACGAGAAAAGCGATAACGGCACTGCATAGCATTCCAGATGTGTTACCGGCAATGGCAGAACCCCTGGGTGGGAGAAGAGTGTGAACTCCCAAGGTAAGTATTTCAAAGGGGATTAAATAAAATTTGCTAAAAAAAAAAAAAAAAAAAAAAAAAAAAATTGATTTTTTTTTAAATTTTTTTATGACCAAAGCTTGGCTAATTTTTGAAAGCACCTCGTATATAGCGTTCTGGCATCAGTTTAAACAGGTTCTACATTTTATTACCTAGATATTGCAATCATTTTGCTTAAAATTGGTATTTTATTGATTTCAGATGAAAGCTTAGAAATTTCCCAACATATTTCAGTGAAATATTCATTTTCTAAAATAAAATTTTAGAATTATAATTTAGATATATGCAAAAAAGGTGTCAGTTTAACCCAAATCCTTCAAATGTCAGTTCAATCTAACATCTTTTTTCCATATATTTTGCTTGCAGTCCATATTTTCTTGATTTCAGATGAAAACTTGGAAATTTTCTAACTTATTTCAATGAAATTTTAATTCCCTGAAATTATAATTTATAGTTCAAATATATGGAAGGAAGAAGGTGTCAGTTTAAACTGATGCCAGGAAGATATACATTAATTTATTATTTTTTTTTCCTAGCAACTTATTTTGTTGCTTTTTCTCACAAAGCTCTAGCCATTTTTACCTCCAGCATCCTTTAAGCAATTATCAGAAAACTGAAAATAACAATAAAATTTCTGCTATTTGTTCATTTCATTTGTAGAACGTCATTTGAGCTTCGCAATGGAAGAAAAAAAATAATAAAAAAATTAGATAATTGCAATATTTTTGCTAAGTGAGAGCAACAATTGTTTCAAATTAATTTTTGATGTGTTTTACCTTTTAAAAGTGATAAATTTTTTCATAAAATGATTATAAACTTAAAGAGAAAGTGTGATGAATTGGTATAAGTCCTTTGTAGTTCCTAGTCATTTTTCCTGGGTCCCTTAACTTTTTTCTTGTTCCAACACAAACGCAATTCAGAACTTGAGAGACTGGAAGACATGAGGGTAATTTTCAAAGAAACCCTGCAACAAAAAGCAAAAAAGAAAACTATTTAAAAAAAAAAAAAAAAAAAAAAACCTAAAAAACATTATTCACAATTGGACTAATATGCTATTACTTTCATAACGTTTCAGCTGTTTTGTCAATACAGGTAACCTGAAAAATCTTTATCAAAACATTTTCATTTGCAATTACCTTCCTTGCATCGTAAGCAAATTTTTCATGTTTCTCTATCCATTTTTAAATTCTCCCTTGTATGTTCAATTTAGTTTGATAAGCAGAAAACATAACATAAATGTCATTAGTTAAATGGTTTGTTCAAGTTCTTTAACCAGAAGTTGACGAAAAAAAAAAAAATTACTTGCATTGTTTATTAAAGCAAAAATAGTTCTAATCAGATCCTAAAGTTTTTCACATTTAGGGATAAATAATAGAGATATCTAAATTTAAGTTCTTCAATTTTAATTTTTCATTTTGGTCTATTTATTATATTTCACAGCTTATCAACGTTTTTTTTTGGGGGGGGGTAATGTTTATTAGTGATACAAGTCTTAACTAATTAACCCATAGCTGGGGGTGAGAAGAGGTGGATTCATACCTTTCCCCAAGTGTATTTGTGTGAAAGTGAATATATCGGACCTAACAAGAATTTGAACTCTGCTTTCTAATTAACAATTCTGAGCCATTATCCATTGCACCACCTCAACATCTAAGCTTGCAACACCTGGCATTTGCCAGTGGTCATCCATCTAGGTACTGACCAGGCTCAATGTTGCTTAACTTCAGTGATCATATGGGAACCAATGTTTCAATAATTTTTCATTTCAGCTTCATTCGCCAGTTTGAAAAGAAACATTTAAGTTTTGTTTATTTGTGTGCGTGTACATGTGTTTGCCCACACGTGCTCCATTTATTAAAATCCCATCACTATAGGTGAGAAGTAAGCATTTATTTTTATCTTTAAGATATTTATTGCTTTTAGAATAGATATAACTGTAATTAAAAACTTTTGTATTGTTCTGATATCTTCTCTCTTGCCCAAAAAAATAAAACTTAACCAGTTATCTCAAAGTACTGTTCTATTGTCCCTGGAGGGGTTGATGTTAAACACAAAACCTGATATACATTGCCTTCATAAATGCTATCAAATATGATCGGGGGGGGGATAAGAATTGCTGATTGACTTAACAGGATCTTTGTATTTTTATTACTTCAAGCGTTATTTTTAGTGTATACCAGTATATGAGTAGATGCTGTTTTTTTTTGTTTTTTTTTTAAAAACAGTGTTTATTTTATCTACTGGTCTGCATACTCAAGAAAACTTAATGAAGAAAAGGGGTCTCTCTTTGCAGGAGGAATGGAAGTCAATCAATGTTCTGAACATTCACTCTTTCAGATTTTATCAAAAGCCATATCTGCTCTGTTACATATCTGAAATGTACACAAAGCAATTTCTAATGAATTAATGGATTTTAGTTTTTAATCCGACATTTTTATTACTTCAAACGTTATTTTTAGTGGACATCCATTTTTGAGTAGACAATTCATTTTCTTTTTTTTTTAAAAAAAACAGCATTTATTTTATCTACCAGTCTGTACATTTACGAAAACTTAAAAAAATATGCGCGTTTCTTTGCAGGGGAAACTAACATATGATTCGGCGTACACGTACACATTGGTTTTACCTGGCCAAACTGCCACAACGAATCAAAAGCTATTTATCTGAGCAATGGCCCAGTCTGACAGGTAGTTGGTTGGCTATCAATTGACTTCCCAAACCCACCTGACCAAACTAAAAGAACCAGAAAAAGCAGCAGAGGCATGACAGGAGCACAAGACATCCAGGGTTTATCTTATCCCCCCACCCATCTTTGTACAATTCAGGAGCCATCAATGAAATGAATCCACGATGTAATTTTACTCCTCGTTTTTGCCTTTTGCTTCAGTCCTGGCTCCACCTTGATGATGTTTCATCTTCAGTTGCATTTGAATCCAAGAAATGTGTCTGATTTTATGCTATAATGCTGCACAAGCTTTAAGGCAGCCATTTGTAATTTTGAATAGCACACATTTTAGCAGTCTCAATTCTAATTAATCCATTGCCAAGTTGGGATCACAGTCATTGTAAACTCCACAATCCTTCCATTAGCTGCAAGTCTACATAGAATTTTGAATTCAAGGTTGTTGTTCTCCTAGACTGTAGAGGCTAGTCTGTCTTACTATTTAACCCACAGCAGGGGAGGGGTACTCATGAATTCACAGCTTTGTACAGAAATGAATGTAACAAAACTTGACTGGAATGTTAATTCGGTTTGCCGATTTCTTATTATGAGCTGCTATCCATTATACCACCCACACATCTAAAGAGCGCAGAGACCCATAGTCAGAAGGCATCTTCAAAACTCCTTGCATTCTAATGTGATATATTCATGATTTGGTTCATATAAAGATTTGGAATGAACTTCTATGCCTGTTTCTGGTTCTCAGGTGGTTAAATATGGCCAAAATTCCAAGAATCTTCAGAGGTTCTCTTTTATGTCCCAATGATGTAACAGTTTTTAACGGATATATTCAAAAGCAATTCAGGTGATGGAACTCATCCACCTGAGATGTCGGTTCATCAAAATAATGAAAACTGATCTCAGTCCTTTGTGCCGCCATACCCAATCAAGAGAAAAGGATAAATGTGGATCCGTAATCTAAGACTGTTCAACATCACATCCAATCTCATTCTGGTAATTCCTGCAACAACACCAGTGTGATACAGTGGACACACATATAGAAAGTTAAAAGAGAGGTAGTTTTATCTCGATCTCAAATGTTTCCATTTCATAGACCAGATGTGGTTCCTTTTTGAAGTTCAGTTTTCTAAACAGCATCCACTTTGACTGAAGGGTAATGCAGAAATAAAAAGTTGGATGAGGTGTTTTTTGTAGATTAAGTGGGGGGGGGAATGGAAATACGGTATATCCAAGTGCTGGTCTTTGTTAACAGTCATGCTTGGGATCAGGGAGACACCGACGTGTCTGTTGCACAGTTCCAAAGCCTCTATTTCATATTGCTATCCTCAACTTTGGGATGAGTAGATTGACAAGGAGTTGGTATGGGGAAGAGCCGACACTGCAGAAGTTGTCCCCAGTATCACCCACCTAATCACCCAGACGATAAGGCGATGCCCTGAATAAAACATTTACATATATGGGAAAGAGCGTTTGCATTCATATTTTTCGATATGGTGTTTGTCTTTTATCTTGTTTCCTTGTGAGCATACAGCAGTCCCTTTCCCAGCTTCCAGTGCACAAAGGTTAGATTGAGGATTGAGGATTGAAATGTTAACGCGGGATGATCATTGGCTAGTCAGTGGAAAGCTTCAGCAAAGATCGCATTGTAGGTTTACAACCAGTTCCAAGCAGATTTTTAAAATAATTTTGATTTTTTTCTTTTTAAATTTTTTTTTGTAAATATTTTTTATTGCAAATTTTTTTTTTTTTTTTTTAAATTTTTTTTTGTTTTTTTTAAATTCAGATAACTCACAACTGGTTACAATTACCTGTTTATATGAATGTTTTTGATTCTTATTTTCCAAGTTGTTCCTGGACAAACACTCAATACATCTTTTCTGATTAATCATAATTAAGACATACATAAAAAAAAAAAAAAAAAAAAAAAAAAAAAATCAAGATAAAATGTTGAACATCGTATAAACTGGAAGAGAGAAAAACGCTTACTTACTCTGAACAAAGCTATACCGTGGGCGACACTTGTGGTGCAACCCTGTTCTCTGATTGAATGCATGCTCAGCTGAGGAGCGCCAACATCAACTGTAGGGATTCCAAGTTTGAAGGACAAAATAGGACCAATTGTTGAACCACATGGCATGTCATTACGTACAACAAAATCCTAAAAGACAAGAGCACAAGTGAAAAAAAAAATATATTAGTAAATAGAAACAGCTCAAAATTCCTCAAAAGGTTATCCAGACATCAGTGGAAGGCCAGAAGATGCCAGACATCAGTGGAAGGCCAGAAGATGCCAGACATCAGTGGAAGGCCAGAAGATGCCATGTTCAAAACATTGTAATGATAGCAACAAATGCGAGGGCATTACTCAGATTGTAAATAATTAGGAAACAGAAGTTCTGAAAAGTATCCCAGTAGTTTTGGCTCTAAGTAAAGACCGTCCACAGTTTAGTTTCCAGCCATCAATTTCTGCTAAATTTAATTCAATAAATATATTTGTTTCTTTCATGTCTTTCAAACTCAACATTTTTTAACATCCATAGTATGTCAGTAAAGCATTCAGTCAGCTAATTTTTCATGGCTGATTTTTACATCCATAGTCATTCTTCACATAATTTTAAATGAATACAATTTGTTTCTTTTTTAGTGGCATATCAACACCTAATGGGTCATTTAATAACAAAATCTAATTTTCTTGGAACATTAGTAATTTCTTTAAAAAAAATTTATTACTGGAATTTTTCTAACTATGAGAAAGCAACACTGGCATTTCCAATACAAAAATGTATTCCTACACTTTCAAGGTGTTTTGACCCCAGTTTTTTTTGGGGGGGCTAACTATTTGCTCATAGCTGGCACTCTAACAAGTGTAAAAGTAGGTTTGGTTTGTTTTACAGCATATCAACCTCAATGGGTAATTTAATGCCGAGAATTTTTATTGCTGGTAATTTTTTTTTCAAAAATGTATTGCTAGTAATTTTATTTATTTATTTATTTATTTTTTTTCCAAAAATGTATTGCTGGTATTAAAACCTATTTTTATACTTTCATGGTGTTTTGACCCCAGTTTGGAGGTGAACTATTTGCCCATAGCTGGGACCCTGACAGGTGCTACCACTCCAGGTCAAGGTGAACCTGAGAACACCAGCAATTAAAAGGTGGTTACATGCTCCTCAAAACCCCCTGACCAGCGGCCTTGCCGTTGGATGTAATTCATCGTCTTACTCAGTACAAGAAATATCAGTCAGCGAGATGAAAGTGATGGATAATAATTAAAAACTATCACTCAAAGAACTTCTTTAGATAAATAAAGAGTTTTATTGATGGAATCAGTTTTATATATAAAAAGTGGGGGTGACATGCAGAGAAATCAAGTGGATTAAATTATAATAGTCATCAACTCTATGATGTCTCCTTTCTTAGTAATTAAATATTCCAGTGTTATGGTAACAGGATTCATTAATATTTAATGAGTAAATCTGAGATAACAGATTGATCATACTATCATTTTTTTTTTTTTATTTCTTTTGTTTTGTGTCTTTTCTTGAGATTTTTTTTCTTTTAATGATTTCAAAAGTAGCAGAATTCTTTCTTATATTTTGATTGATTTGTCCGTTTAACGGCATTTCAAACCAAAATTTAATTTTCTTGGGAGCTTTGAAGTAATAAAGATATGATACGAGTTATTCTGCTTTCACAATTGAATACATGGTAGATGATATGCAGCTTTTGTGCATATACATGTTTGTGTGGACAAAGTTACTTTTGGAATACAGCTTGATTTCTTTAAGAAATTGTAGGATATTAAATGGATTAATGTCAAGAAAAAGTTCTTGTTGGGTGTTTGGTAGTATTTTAAATAGATTTGGAGGAAGTGACTATAATTTATTAGTATGTACATATTGCTGGTAATTTTTTTAATATAAAAATATATTGATTTTCTTTTTAAAAACACAAAATGTCTGAATATCTTAATATTAAAGATTCAGGGTGCAATAGATAAATTGTCGTCTAATATTTGAAATACATATACAGAGTACGATGAATAAATTGTCATCTAAAAATGATGTAAAAATGAAAATCACACTGACATCTCATTTTAACAGATATATTTACTAAAATTACACAAAATATCTTGAAATACTAAAGAGTAGATTTATTCAATAAAATTCGCTATTGGCTTCAACCACAGCCTCCAGATTATGTCGGAATCTCCTGCAACTCTTCTGGGTGGTCTCCTTGTTTATGTTGGTGAATGCTGCCATAATCCTTGCCTTCAGTTTATCTTTGGTGTTACAAGGAATTTTGTTGTTCTCATGCTCAACTGTGCCCCACACATAATAATCAAGGAGGTTGCAGTCTGGTGAGTTATGTGGCCAGATGTAAGTGGTGATGTGGTTGCAGAAATTGTCCGAGTTCTTCTGCTTGTGTGGCATGGTGCAGAGTCCTGTTGCCAGACATAAGGTTTTCCAGTAGCCACCTTCTTGACCTTCTCAAGGTACTTGATGTAGGTCTCCATGTTGAGTCTCATTGCTGAGGCCAACAAATTTGGGAGTTCTTTTCTTATCAGAACGATCAAAGTGAGTTTTCCAAGCTGTCCTACCTTCATAATCACCATTAGACTCATCCAATTCTTTCTGAATCCTCTGCACTGTCGTCTGATTGACACCCAAACATTCTGAAATTTTCATATTGGAGCTTCTGGTGCAAATGCCAAGCAGTACAGCATGCCGTTTCCAAATTTCTGGCAGAGTGAATTGCGTCATGGTTCTCTTTTTCTCACAGATGGTACACACCCGACCCTACTACACTGTGCAGTTGACAAAATCAAAAACGAACAACACACATGAGCAACATGTGACATATGGTGGCCGTTAATAATTAAGTATAACTTCAATATTAAAATAAAACAGCATTTAATTACAACTGCAAATAAATACTTAACAAGAACAAAGAAGTAAAAGTCAACCAAAGAATTGACCATTTCAGTGAATATCTTGTTAGTAGCGCGGCTCGGCTTAACGTCCTGTAAATCCTAAAGGAAAACCCAAATCATCAATGCACAATAATTCACACTAATTCAACTTGATAGTTTCAGTTAATAGTCACTCAATAATCACTGCAGTCAGTAGCCTGACACCACTATTTGGCAGAAAACATTCATAAGTCCAGAGTGTCACACTCAGACTTTGGTGTCAGTAGTTACTCATTTTCTTCTTATATGACATGCTTTCACTTATCAATATGAAGAAAAATATACAGAAAAAACAAACAAAAATCTTAATATGCAATTATGCTGTATTAATGTTAATATAATGTCAACGTCGGACATTTCGGTCTATTTTACACCATCATTAGGACATATTCATTAAACATAATTAACATTAGACTATCTTCAATTCAACATGAAAAAGACGATGGACATAAGAGCACGACTAATCCAAACAGATAACTGAAATTTTTATATAAGATCAGCGTTCTGTTTAAATATGATCACGTCGTCATCACGTGGGCGATGTTGTGAAAACATATTCGAAGATGATTTCGAAATATCAAATAAGCTCGATTGAACTATTTTCTCATATAAACAGTTTGTTAAGAAATCCTTTCCGTTCTTGTAGGAATACGCAGAGATCAATAGGTTCTTATATTTTCATACAAGCTTGAAATCTTCCATGTTATAAAGTAAATCAAAGATGATTTCAAAATATAAGCTCGGTGGAACAATTTTCTCATATAAACAGTTCGTTAAAAAAATCCTTTCCGTTCTTGTAGGAATATGCGGAGATCAATAGATTCTAATATTTTCGTACAAGCTTGAAGTCTTCCATGTTATAAAGTAAATTCAGGTTTTTATTTCCAGTAGACAGTATGTAAGCAAATATATGGATAGAGATCCGACAGTATGAAGAAAATATACAGAAAAAACAAACAAAAATCTTAATATGCAATTATGCTGTATTAATGTTAATATAATCAATATAAAAGTAATCAAGAATGTTTGTGTATATGATTAAATTATCACATGAGAAAGAATTCTGCTTTTTAAAATCATTACAAGAAAAGAAATAATCAAAGAAAATCAATATGACCCAAACCATTAAAAAAAAAAAAATCCCCCCCTCCCCCACCTTTTTTAAAGAGAATTTTGCAGTTATGTTCTGCATGTGTTATTGAGGAATCTAGAGTAATTGAACTTTGCTTGGCTAGGAAAGTTTTCCCTACAAAGAGGGTGTGCAGGTGGTGTAAATAGATAGCTGTCTGGAATGAGAAATCTAAGAGCCAAGTTTGAATTTCAATCATGTTTGTTACATCCACTTATGTGTAAATACTCTTGAGAAAGCTATGAATACATCATCTCCTCTCCCCCAACTATGGATTAAATAGTACTATTAAGACATTAAGAAACTGTAGACTTACCTGAAGTGGGACCGAAGCCAAGTTAGCTATTTTCCTTAGAATTGCTGCAGTGATGGCTGTGGTCGAATATGATTGGTTGGCATTTATTTTCAAAACGTAACCCTAAAGAGAAAAAGAACAGAAGTGAAGCCAAAATGAGAGACGCGCTGAAAGAGCAACAGAAATTATTCATCCAATTTGTTTATATGATTCCACTTATAAATTCTAAGCGTCTATAAAAATTTTAATTGGTTTTAAAGAGATAATAAAAATATTAAACTGCTAATCTTATGTTCGACACAACGGGACTCAGCCAGGATTAGGATGTACACAAGTTCAAGTGGGCCCTAAATAATTTTATCTGGGCCAGTTTTTATGACTGCATAGACATTAACTCTAGAAATAAGGGCTTCAAAGCTGCCACCCACTGAACAAAAGGAAAAAGCAAAAGATATAAATCTTTCAGGATCAACTGCCATTTAGCTGAAAGTTAGATAGTTCCAGTCACAGACTCACAATTAGAATTGTCAGTTTTTGAGCCACCTGTTGGTGATTTGTGAGCCACATGTCAGAGATAGGCAAATGGAGTGATATGCGAGAGAGTTCTTGCTGGCTGAAGGGAACATTTGCTCCATTAGTCTGAAAACAGAATTAGCAGCAAAGTTTTCCCCAAGTGTCATCTCCCTACCATCCTGACCATACCAGATAAATCTGTGAATTAAATGAAAACACGATTTGTGTTTTGATTCCTTCTTGTGGCAATATTTTTACCTTCCATTCCTTTGTTAAATGTACACTGGGCCTTTCCCAGTTTTTGTGCATACCAAGGTAAACAAGACTGGAAAAATGTGAAGGTTGGGATTTGTCTAGCCAGTGAAAGATAGAGAGAGGGACCCAGTGTATCTTTACATATAAATGATTTTCTTTTCATTTCTTTTGATCTTTTCACTTTAGAAAAATTCATTCTTTTTTCCAATTTTATTTTACTGATTTTTAAGAAATGTTTTTGCTTTAGTTAAAATTATGGCATGCATACTTATTTGCTCCGTAGTGAATTTATTAACCATATGCAAATCTAAACACTTGTCGAGATGAATAAGATGAATAGGTAAAGTCAAATTTAATTGCAAATCTTGCTGCAATGGATGACTGTTCTTCAGTATATTAATGAAACGTTTAACAGCTGTACTTTAAATTAGAAAAGTCAATATTTCACATTTTTGAATGAATTTTTTTTTTTTTTTTTTTACTATGAACTGATAAAATAGACAAAAAAAATTTAAAAAAAATTAAATTGCAAACTTCTAAAGACTGTTGAACTCATTATCTTTGTTGTTTTTATCCTGTTTTGGCTGACATACTATGTGGCCTTCTTATTATTTTTCATCTTTATTAAAAGAAAAAGGATCTTTTTTTGCAGGCATGTTTCTCTATCAATATGAACCCTACACATGAAAAGGCCAGAGAGTGGATCAGCCACAATGTTGATACGTAATAAAAAAATTTAAAAAAAAAAAAAAAGTAAAAAGGCCACAAATTCAATTGATTGAACAACTTCTGCAGTGATAATAATTCCATTCAACCTCAGCAAACATCAAGAAATTGGCCTGAAGCCAAACATTGTCAATCCTCTCACAGTTTGCCTAACCATTAACTATGACTTGATAGGACTACATTTCCTGTTTTAAAAATACCCATGAAACACTATAATGAATACAAAGTCATTAGCCAACCAACCCCCTGGGTGAATGCCAAAAACAACACAATGTCGAAATTACAAAAGGTTAAAAAGAAAAAAGTTTAAGGAGATAAACAATAGATGTTGGCAGATTAAACGACGACTTTTTTATGAAGAGGCACATAAGTTCATGTTGAAATAATTGAGGTACATTTTTTTTTAAATTTACTTCCTTGATTAAAAACGTAGTTAACAAAATTTTTTTCAAGATCCAACTTTTAAATTTTTCAAAATAATTCAAATAGAAATACCCTGAAAATATGACAATTTACTGCCTTTTTGGACAGGCTCAGAATATTCTGATTAAAAGCCTTGCAAAAGATTAAGCCTCCCTAAACCTGAGGCCACACTTTTGGTGGATTCTTACAGACTCAAGTGCAAACCCAACTGATGTCTAATTTTAAGACTGAAGTAAAAGCCAAACCAATGACTACTGTTAAGATTCAGGAAAAAAAAAAAAAAAAAAAAAGATTCCATCATTAAATAATCCAAGAAGGATTGATAAGTTGTAAAATCCATGAAGCCAACCAACATGACAAGTCATAGAATAAAAACTGCACTTTTACCCGATAACTATAAATAATTAAAACTGAAAGATATGTTTTTCATTTATACATGGAAAATGTATTTAATTTAAACTGAATTTCTTGTATAGTTAAACATATTAACAAATGTAAATATAAGTAAATTGTTTATAGAGAGGTGATGAAAAGTCCTCAGCCAAACAAACTTTTCAAAATCTGAACAAATGACCAGAGATTGTTTTTCCCTCTATTTTTAGAGCTTTGTAGTCAAAAAAATAATAGTAACCTAGTAATTATAAACCAGGTACCTCAACATGGTCTACTGGTTAGTGAGTCTAGCCTGATTAACCATTACACCTGAATAGTGAGTTTTACCCATATAAAATTCAACATTAAAGTTTGACATGTTGACCAACTTAATACCATTCACAATATATTTCCACAGTGAAAACCCATTCACAATGGGTTTTTTAATAGTAAAAACCATTTCCAATGAATTTTCAATAATAAATCCTCCATTCCCTGGTGCCTTGTTTAGGGTAATGGCTTGTGAGGCTAATCTGATACACCACTTTAAAAAAAAAAAACCCACTACTGATTCCTAACTGGGTAGTCTTGTAAAGTAATGCACATCCCAAAAGGTTCGAGGCCATGAATCTAGATCCCCCCCCAAAATCACAGGCTTTTACATGTGTGCATCCATAACAACTAATCATATAGTCGTCCTTTTAAAACAAAGTATTTAACTAACAATACAATATTGAATTTCCTTTTGTATTCTTTACACCTACCAGGATGTGTGGGCAGTGTAATGGATATCAGCTCAGAATAAGAAATCAGTGCTGAATTTAAATTAAAAATTTTTTTCTTACAATCCCAAAATGTATTTTGGCTTTAAATAACCAACAAAGGGTTAACAAGCTGTAAAAAAAGAAAAAAACTAAAAAATCATACACCTACCATATACAGTATTTACACACTCCTGATTATCAAACACGTAGAAACTGACAATGCTTCAGTACAACCAGATACATTAGGCACCTAGTGAGGATCAAACTCACTACTTAATGGTAATGCTGAACCAGATAAGCTTGCTGATGTTAAGAGTCCTTGAGTGACAAGTTGTTCGTTTTGATAAACACAACTTCTATTTGTAAATGATTATACACTATCAAGAGATTTAAATTTGACTACAGAATGACTTTCACATTTTTGCTGGATAATTTTTTTAACATTTTGTGGGGTAATCAAACTATTGTGTCAAAAAGTGATTTTTTTTTTTCTCCCATTTAGATTTTACGACTTTAAAGAATTCGCCTACAGGATTTGTCAACAAAAAGTTATCTCCCCTTGTTCTTAAACATTTGCAGAACAAAATCGAATTCATATCTTCTTTAAGCGGTAAATGATTTGTCACTCTGAAAAATCACGATTAATTACAAACCTTGACAAAGTATACTATGTTAAACAATACAAATCAAGTTTTCACGTATAATAGTTTTTTTCTTCAAATTAAAAGATAAGAAATATAAATTTATCAATCATTTGCAATTATGTTTATATGACAAGAAATTTTATAAAATGCATGGAAGTTCAAAACTCCATTTTAAAAGAATGAACTCAAATTGTATTCATTTTTACCTTATGCATTGCAGGTTGGTGGCATGATTCATGTTTCTCTCTAAAATTAAAAAAAAAAAATTCATTTAAGAATGTACTTTACAATCTGTAAGTTTCTGACACAAATTTAAGCGAAAAGACAATTTTGAAAATAGTTAAATAAACATGGATGAAACAAATTTATCAATTTTATGCTCATTGGTTTTAAAAAGCATACAACTAATGAATTAATTTGTATTTTTTCAATTTTTTAAAAGATTCCTTTAGATCATGAAAGTTATATAGATTGTATATTAACAAATAACATTTCATGATACGTATGCTCACTTTGTTTTAATAAATACAGTAAAGTTTCTAAATGAAGACAACTTCACTCATCACCTCATAGACTTCTTCTATGTGTTGTGCCCTCCTAAGATATTGGCGATCATGGCTCTCCACAATTTCCTGTCTTTTGTAGCTTTTAGTAAATTTTGTATTTTTGCTGTCTCTCCTAAACACTGTTCTGCCATCCATTTACACAACCTCATTCTTCTATGTGTCATGTCCTTTCAGAACTTAGTAAATTTTATTTTTTTGCTATTAAATATTTAAATCTTGCTCTGCCATCCATTTACTCAAGCTCATTCTTCTTCTGTGTCATGTCCCTTCAGGACACTGGCGATCATGGCTCTCCACCATTTCCTGTCTTTTGTAGATCTTAGTAAATTTTGTCTTTCTCTCCTAATCACTGTTCTGTCATCCATTTATGCAAGCTCACTAAGTAGGTTATGTGTTCTTTTCCTCTGTCCCCCTTGATTTCAGTCATGTGAGTGTCAAATTTTCCAAGCCCTCTTTCCTCATTATGTGCCCTAGAAATTTCATCTATCTCTTTCTGATGTTAAGTAAAAGTGTCCTTTTTGTTTCCTTTTTTCTAAAACTTCATCATTGCCCACATGTTCAGTCCATTGTAATCTCAGCATGCTTCTGTAGAGCCACATATCAGTTGCCTAAAGTTTTTTCTTCAATTGTGAGGAGATTGTCCAGCATTTACTACTATATAGTAGGAACAATATTACATGGCAGTTAAGTACTCTTTTCTTTGTTTCTAACAAGATTTTCCTGTTAATACTTTGCTTAGCTTTTGGAAGGTATCTTTCACTATACCAATGTGCTTACAGATTTCTGTGTCAAACTTTCCATCTTCTCTTAAAACGCTTCCCAGATATTTAAAATTTTGTACTTGTTTGATTTTGGTATTCCCAATTTGTAATTTGCATTTTGGACTGTCCCTTTTGCTAGCAACCATGCATTCTGTCTTCTTGCAATTGATGTTTAGTCCTTTCTTCTTGCTTTCCTTCACTACCTTCTGTAGGAGTTCTTGTAGTTTCCTTTCTGTGTCTATCAGCATTGCGTCGTCTGCATATATTATGTTAAGACTGTGGCTGCCAATAATGAATCCTGGTCAGACTTCTAGTTCTCTCAGTATCACCTTGTATTGGTTTAATAAGTCTGGTGAGAAGGTACACCCTTGTCTTACAGCCCTTTCTATTTTTGTATATTTACTGAATTCATTTTCTATCTGTATGTTGGCAGTTTGCTGCTAATATAGATTGTAGATTATTCTAATATCCTTCCTAAATATGTCAAGGTTACCTAGCAGTTCTTTGTGACGTATTTTATCTTGGAAGGATATTCGTGTTGTTTGCTATAACCTTTTCCACATTTTTGCATTCCATGTTTTCCTTCTCCCAGACTGGCAGCCAACCAAAGCCTCCCTTGATGTTTAACACATAAAAATGCTTGTTAATTTTAAATAGGTTTTTATTAGTAGGAACTATTACTACAGGATAAAAAATTATTTTGCAAATGTCATTTCCCTTCAGGATATAGTCGATCATGGCTCTCCACTTCTTCCTTTCCTTTGAATTGTCGTGGTTTTTTTGGGGAATGATAAACAGTGATTTCCCATTGCCTTCTCCATAGTTTTGAATTCAGAGTTGTCCTTCTGACATTCATTTTCTATCTGTATGCAAGAAGTTTGTTTGCAGTATAGGTTCTGGACTATTCCGATATCCTTCCCAAATATGTCGAGGTTACCTAGCAATTCCAACGGTTCTTTGTAAAGACTAGGGAGATTATGACTAGTTTTAATCTTAAAGTTATCTTTGTATTTGCTGATTAGGAGAATTTTATAAATATAAAACAAAATCAAGAGTGGCTGATATCTCGATGCAGTCAATTCATTTTTCATAAATTAATTCTAAATATCATTGGCTTCAATCTGATGGCAGTAGAAAAGCAAACATTATTTCAATAAAAAAACAAAAAATGTTTTGCATTGTATTGTGATAAAATAAACTTAGCATTAAATATGTGGGGGACTCTCCATGAAATCACTAATGAAACAAAAAGGAAATATTTTAGGGCTTATTAGATGTTTGGGTACTCTATAGCTATGGAACTCATCAGGAGCTTATTCAATCATCAGAAAATTCAAATGGGAAAATTGTGAAATTTTTACAAGTGTTTTGAGCAGGCATTAATGGAGTATGCATAGGAATATCTAAGCATAAAGGCAAAAGGAAAATTTTTCAACAAGCTTTAAGCTTCATACCCCTCCCCCAAAAAGCCATATCAAGAGTCTTTCCCTTGATACCGTTATTACTTTAATTACCTTCACTGCTAAGCAATGTTTATTTTTTAAAAAGTGATGATTAGAATTGGAATAAAAGCTAAAGATATGATGAAAGTGAATTTATACATTTATTTTTTGTTCTTGAGAATTTCCAACAAAAATATTAAATATTTTATTGGATTGTTGATTTACAAGAATAATTTTATATTTACAACAGTTTAAAAATTACCACAATTAAAATTAATGCAATGGAATATTTATCATTTAACAATTTATAAAGAAATAAATATGAAAACAATTCTTCATAAATTTATAAACATTGACTAAATTATTAAAATATGTGAACCAACTCTAAGGAAAGTTTTATTTACCATTTTATAAAGTTTGAATCAATTGTGTATTAGACAATGTTCTGATAATCATTCCAATAAACAATCTAATAGTGTTTATTATTTGTTGTCAAGTCTCAAGAACAAAAAAAATTATAAATTCACTTTCATATATTTTAGAGGTTTTATTATGATTCTAATCATCACTTTTTTAAAGCAATAAACATTGCTGCAGAGAGGGTATTTAAAATAATAGCAGTGTCAAGGGAAAAAAAAAACGTCTTTTGACACTGTTTTTTGTGGACATGAAGGTCCAAGTCTGCCAAAGTTTATAAACATTTACAAAAATATGTGAACCAACTCTAAGGAAAGTTTTATTATTTACCATTTTATAAAGTTGGAATCAATTGTCAATTAGCCAATGTTTTGCCAACCATTCCAATAAACAATCCAATAAAGAGAGTAAATGAAGAATCCTAGATATCTAACAGAAGCAGTTGACCAGATGTAACAGCAATATGTAAAAAAATTTTTTCAAAAAAGGAGGAAATTTATGGTAAGTTTTATGTAAGAATTGAATTGAATCTATTTCCTATACATACAGCCTGCCTGTCATCTCCAAGTGAGTAAATGTAAGAAAATAATTACGAATAGTTAGGATGAACGGCATGAGCTTGGTCTGCACTGAGATGAAAGGATTTTGGAATCGACTCTTCAAATGCAAGGTTATCTCCCTTGCATATTCTCCTCATCACCATTTCGGTAAGAAGTGATTCAGCTCCTTGGGCACTTTTAGAACCAACCTGAAACAAGAAAATATTTTTTTTTTTTTAATCCATGAATATATTTATTTCTTGTGGGTAGAGTGGGGGGGAATTTCAATTAAAGATAAGTAAATAAATGAATAAAAATGCATGTAACAAAAGCTTGCATTACATATAATGTCTACTTTAAAAAAAAAAAAAGTATTTTTAATATCTTTGAATGTCAGGCAATTGAATAACTGGAAAATACATAAAGCATTTCATACCCTAAAAAAGTGGTTCTTAACCTTTTTTTCTTCAATGCACCCTTTCCAAAAGTCAGAATGTCATCCCTCCCTTTCCAAGATTGTCCAACTCAAAAGGTTCGTAGCAAATATGCATATATTGTTGAAAAATTTTTATTTTTTTTTCCATATTAGTATATATACGTTTATATGGATTATTTTTATGGAGGAGTTTTACAAATTTAATAGCAATAGAAAATATTGGATTTTTAAACTTGAATGCACATACAGTAATTTGTTTTTATTCATAATGAATTGTTAAATAAAATGAAGCCTACCAAAATAAAAAAAAATAATGAGAAAAAGTAAAATATTAAAAAATTCCTCTTTGGAGGAAATTCCATCCTAGTTGAGAACCCCTGTACTATATATATATATATATATATATATATATATATATATGGATCTGACATTTAAACCAAGACATTTTCTTAATCATTTTACCCAAGGCAAGGCAATAAAGCCATTAAGATGCAAGGGGGTTACTGAGTGTTAGAGAATATGAGAAAAATACACTTAGGTAAAGAGGACAATAAAAGAACAAGACAGAAGATAACGATTGACATTGCATTTAAATTTTTGAAGATCAAAGTTAATAGAGAAGCCTAAAGTGAGTTCCACAAGTGAGAAGTGTGAGAAAAATAATTGCTATACATTTACATGGATTATTTTTATAAAGAATTTTCACAAATTTAATGGCAATAGAAAATGTTGAGGGATTTTTAAAGTTGAATACAGTGATTTGTTTTATTTCATGACTGATTATTAAATAAACTGAAGCATACATCAATAAATAAAAAGTTCAATAGAATGCCAGGGTCAATTGAAATTCAATAAACAAAATTATGTAAATAAAAAACAAGAAAATGTAAAAGATTTTTCTCCTCCCACCTGATTGAGAAGCCCAACTCTAAAAGGAGATCATCATACTAAAGTAAAGTTTTTACTGATGGAATTACGTACGTGTTGGGAGAGAAAATGGACAATTTACAGCAAAAGGAAGTGTTGAAGATGTGGGAATGATTAATTTTTAAATTTTTATTAAATTTAATTTATATTAAAATCTACTTTTTATATAATTCATATTCAAACATTTTTTATATTATTTTATTTAATTCATATTCAAATACATTTTTTTATATTATTTTATTTAATTCATATTCAAATACATTTTTTTATATTATTTTATTTAATTCATATTCAAATACATTTTTTAAATGCTATATCCCTTCAGATCATTTTTCTTAAATCAACTAAATAACTTTCTTGCCTTCCATCATCAAGATGGTGGACAATACTAACCTCCAAGAGAGTGAGTTATTGTACCGTCTTGAGTTAATGTTTTCTGCTGCCATGAAGTGTAAAGATTCTATTGAGTCAATTGCTATGTTCGCTGCTAGGAAATGTCGTTCATTATATCATGCTAGACAATTTTTCTCTAGAATTTATCTTACATATTTATAAGTCTATCATTCCTCCAGACATTGAATATTGCTGTCATATTTGATCTGGTACTACTGCTATGTATTTAAAAATTCTTGATAAAATATAAAGAATCTGCAATATTACTGGTCCTGATCTGGCATCTCAGCTTCTGTCACTTTCCCAGCACTGTCATGCATCATCTGTCTTTTCTATAAATATATTCATGCTAATTGTTCTAATGAGCTTTGAGAAAGTGCAGTACTAGATTGGCAGTAAAGTAAAAAGCACATCTCATAGATGCACGGAGATATTATTTCTCACTGAACGGAGAGATGGCACGCGTCTAATTACTCATTGAGGAATAAACGCCTTTGATCTTATGGCACGCCATCACGATGCACGGAGAGATTTTTAAAATGTGTTTCAAATTCGAAATAAGAGATGGTTTGCCTCTAAACGATGCACGGAGAGATGGCAAATTTTGCACGGAGAGATTAAACGCAATCAACGATGCACGGAGAGATGGCACGCCTCTCACGATGCACGGAGAGATGGCACGCCTCTCACGATGCACGGAGAGATGGCACGCCTCTCACGATGCACGGAGAGAAATATAACGCCATCTCACGTCACGGAGATGGCAAAAAACGATGCACGGAGAGATATAACGATTTTGCACGGAACAAAAATTCGCATTTATAGAAATAAACTACAAACCTCTTCATTGTCATAAAGACATGCCATTCTGACATTTGTGTCTTCTGCCAGGCTGTAACCGTTGCAGGAATCAATGAGGCCCTGAAAGAGAAAAAGTTAAAAATGTAGTCAAATCATTATCAAAATATTTGGATCAGAACCAAAGTGTGTAGCATTTTTAAAATATATTTCAAAGACAATATTTACGTATTCCTGCATAACTGCATATGTGCCATTTTGTTACACTACTTTTCACCATCTTTTAGACAGAACTGATTCCTTCCTCCCAGAACGTGACATCCTTCTGGGTAATCCACTCACCAAAGTGGTTCTTCCAGAGAATTGAATTTCTTTGATTCAGAGAATTTTATATGAATCAAAATAATCTCTAATTCCAAAGTGAAAGATCAGGTGAGTACTGCAGGTGGAATAGGATGACCCAATTTCTGCTAGGCTTGCAAAAAAACAGGATGCCTAGCGTTGTCCTGATGGAAGGCAACACCCTTCTGACTGACCAATTGTAGATGCTTTTCATCAATTGTGGTTTTCAGTTGGACCCATTTGGAACAGTACTAGTCCGAATTCTACATCCGATTTTGTGGAGGGAGCATATAAAACACAATATTCTTCCAATCCCAACAGATTGGTAGCATTACAGTCTTCGTCTTTTGGAATGGTTAACATTGACTTATTTTGTTTTCCTCACACCCTTTTCAGCTCTACATTTAATTGTTTAGCATTCAGCACGCTCAAACTCACCCTGTAAATATCGTCTCTCAAACTCTTGCTGTGTTCAAAGTCTCACCATTTGCAGGAATTCCTGCGTTATTTGCAATGATGTCGTCATATATTATGGCAGAGTATACATGGGATGGCTTATGACAGATTGAATGCCGAGAACCGATATTTACAGGGTGGATTGAATGCTAAAGAGTTAAATAATCCAGTTTTCTTTTTCTCTGATCATTATTTTCAAAAATGTTTTTTTGCTGCATTTGTGCTGAGAATTGCAGATGGAAATACCATTCTTTTAATTTATTCAAAGTTAATTTCTGAAGCAATAACAATTCACACATACAAGTGCTTTCAAGGTACTGCAATGCGTATCAGTAAAGATTCATGGCTGCTCCTGGGCCCAACTGTGAAATCAGGATGATGGCTCTCAAAGCAATTGTATTATGTATCATGCTTCTTAATTGGACAATTAACTTTTCAGCACCACCTTATATGTTGATGTGTATATTGATAATAATCATTTTTGGAATTGTACTTGAGCTTCACTAGCTCATACTTGGCTACTGACACAAGTAAATATATATTAGTATTATTGATACTTCTACTACTACTATCATCATCATCGTTGTTATTACTATTATTTTAATTACTATTATTACTACCATTATTATCCCCATTGTTGTTGTTATTACTATTATTATCACTACTAGTATTATCATCACCATCATTGTTGTTGCTGTTACTATTTTAATTACTACTACTATCATCATTGTTATTACTACTATTATTTTAATTATTGCTACTACTATAGAGGTATTAGTAGTAGTAGTGCTACTACTACTACAGATCTGGAGAGGGATGGGTTCCTCTAGACCTACTTTGCACCAGTGACCTTACAACTACACCTGGTTATTGGACTGGTGATGATCATTAAATTGTTTTTTGTTTTTATTTGATAAAATTCCTTTCAACTTTCTCTGCAGTCTAAGCCTTACCTGGCAAGCACAATAAGCATTCAGTAAATTATCCAGTCGAGGGGAGAAAAGAAATTCCTCGCAGGCTCCTCCAATTACCTACAAAAATCAATGAATAAATGAGATTTTACAGAGATGAAAAAAAAACCTAGAATTTCTGGAAAATAACAGAAACAATACTCTAAGTAAATGTCTAAGATTAAAATTACATTTGCATAAAAAGACAACAATTTATATTTTAAAAAAATTAAACATAAAACATTCATTAAAATAATATTTTTTAAACCATTATCTACAAAAAGTTGTGTTCTTTGATCTGACAAGGAAACTTTGCCATCAGCCATTTCCCAGTGAAATAGTAGATAATAAAAAAAAAAAAATCCTCTACCAAGTCTTCCAAGAAGTAGGACTCAAAACAGAATAAATGATCTGTAAATGAAAGCAGTGATGGCACCTACCCTGGATCCATCATAAAATTTCAGGATGTGGAACAAGTAAATACCAAACTCTTCAAATACCTCAGAGGATGGATAAGTTATAACAAATTTAGTATGGAAGGTAAGGAAATTGAACATAGAATAGGCTGAGCTAGAGATAGTTTCACCCAACACCACAAGTTGCTACAAAACCAAAACATTAACCTAAAAACTCTAGTCATGCATAGAACCAAAGTTATTCAGAAATATCTAAACTGTCAGCTGTATACAACCACTTTCTCAGATCAATAGTTAAAAATGGCTTCAAGCAAATGAATCTAGTAAGCTTTAGTGTGGACCAACCTTTTTCAATCCATATGAATTGACACTACAGAATCACGAAGAATTCTGCCAAATAACGGGGGAGTAACAACAACTAAAATGGATAGCACATGTAATTCAAAGAGAAAATAATGACAGTCAAGATGGTGACATTCCCCACTATTTCAAACAAAAAGTTAGGAAGGAAACTGCCATCAATATTGGAAAAAGCAATAACAGTTCCTCATCTTGAGAAACCTATTTTCCTGAAAAATTGGTTTTGGTCAATGAATGCTGAAGGAGAACAAGAGTAAAGAGGCGTGTTTGAGGAAAGGATACAGAGAAGGACAGGGAACAAGCTCAGGGTGTCAGAGATGTCGATTGACATTACACTTGAATATTTGAAGATTATAGTCATCGGGGAAGCAAGTAAGGGAAAGGGAGTTCCACAGACGGAAAGTGCAAGAGAAGAAGCTGTTTAAGTAGAAGAGACGGTTACATTTAACCATTTTAACAGCGAAAGGGTGGGACAGATGCCAGCCTAGTAGCTCGCTTAAATTCATGCAGTCTGGGAACAAGTGAAAATAGCTTGTCAGAACAGTTGCCATGAAAATACTTGTAGAAGAGACAGAGGGAAGCCATAGCATATCTGTGAGAAAGCGACAAAAGACTAGATGCCAGATGCATATCACATTGCATATTTGTCTCTGGATTTTGTCAAGGACATTGAGACATACAGCAGGGGCACCAGTCCATATATGACAGCAATATTCCATGCAAGGACAGATAGTTGATTTATAGATTTGAAGGATGGACTCGGACAAGTAAAACTTTTTGACACAACATAGAGAGCTAACTTTCCCTGCGGTAGATGAAGCTATTGATTCAATGTATTTATTCCACCTCATGTCAGCGAACAGCATGAGACCAAGCAGGCGTAATGAGGCACTCTCAAGGAGTTGGGAATCAACCATTCTGATGGTAGGCAGGGAGGGTTCTCTATGGTGGGTAAAGGAGAGCAGTTTCATTTTGGAGGCGTTAAAGTTTACAAACCATTTCCTGCCTCAGTCAACCACAGATTGAAGGTCCTTTTCAAGATCAGCACTCAGGTTAGTTTTGTCCAGATTTACTATTGAGACAATTTTTATAATGCTATAAATATAAAATTATCGTCAAACCAAAATATAACTGTGAGATATATCTGAGTTGTACTTTGCCCAATCCTGTCTTTCAACAAAGCTAATTGGATTTTAAATTAAATATCAATAATTTATGTGATTTCGATCAGATGAAATGTTGAAGCATTATTAATGTTGAACATTGGCTACGAAGATGAAAATTTTTAATACATTTTAAGTTCCAAGACCTGTTTATTTTTTTTGGTTTAAAATTTGCCATGAAACACTGGGGAAAATCCTTATTCCCATTGAATTGTGTTAAGGAGGAAGTTCAACTGAGAGCTTCATCCCAAGACCTGAAACTATTTCTTGAACGGTTGAAATCTGCATTTTTGTATTCCAAATATCGTTTAAAATAAAGTTTTTTTCATTTCTTTTTGAACTGTTTATTGCAAAAAGGATAAAATCTATTTTACAAACTTATTTCTTAATGTTGAGGGTCAAAAATTATAATTTTAAATATTGGAAATAATAAAAATTCTTACTATATCCTAAATATGCCCTTAGAACAATTTAAAAAATATTCAGAAAATGAATACCATTTGATTTTTATATAAAATTGGGCCTTGTATGAAAAAAAAGAAATTTTTTATATTTTATAAACTTTTTTTTTTATGAACATTGCTTTCTTACAGAAAAAAACGAAATTTATGCTTAAAAACCATCATTGATAAAATGGTTAACTAAAATTATTAAATTTACAACATGGATTAAAAACATAAACCTGTCTAATTCATATTTGGAGTTAGGTAAATCAATAATGAATAAAGCAAAATCATTAGGTTGGAAATGAAAATTTAAAACCAATTTCAAATTGAGTTGTGTTTCTAAATCATTTAGTTTAATATCTTTTTCCCTCCACCCAACTATATCAAGAATTTGGTAGTTAGTTAATAAGAAATAGACTTGGTATCCAGTCTATTCTATTATCAAAGAAAAATTTAAATGATAACGAATTTGAATAACATTTCTTTCAAATAAGAATATTTTATATCTTCAGAATATTTTATGATTAAGAAAATTTGGCAAAGCAAACTATATTCCATATCATGAATTCAAACATGTCTAGGAAATTTATTGAGACATTCAAGATTTTTTGAAAATAATATAAGGTTGATAACCCTATAATTGATTAAAAAAGCAAAATGACCTCTTGTTGGGGATATTAAGATGCAGGAAAAAGATTAAAAAACTTAAATAGCTGGTTGAATTTTAAAAAATCTAAAATTTTTTCCAAATTAAAATCAGGTAACAAAAAAAAAAAAAAATTTCAAATTTAATCAGGACAGGATGATGTTAGAAAATTTATAAAAAAAATAAAAATTAAAATATTTCACATTAATAAACATTTTTTTTTTTTTCAATTCTTTGTTCACAAATAAAAAAAAAAAAAAAAAAAAAAAAAAAATAATATAATGCAGTTAAATATGGAAAATATTTCTTACTATTATTAAAACCTTTTTATTATATTCATGTATATTTATATTTGGATAATTTTTTATTTTCAACTAATTTCAACAAAACTTCACAAGACTTTGTAAAATTATCTTGCGATATCTTTTTATTCATGCCAATTTGAAAAAAAAATTTTTTTTTTTGGAAATAAAATCCAAAAAAACAAATTAAGAGGCAAAAAAAGGGACAACTCATATAGGGGTTATACTTATTAATATAATGTTAAACAAAAGTTATATTTAAAATGTTACATGTTGGTTGTTTTCTAAAATTTGTTTTCCTTAAATGTTTTAATCGGATTTTCAAAAATTTTTCAACAGATTTCAACAAAATTTTTTTTTTTTTTTGGCCGGTAGTTTTTCTTATTGTCTTGATTTTTTTTTTCTTTTATTTTTTACATTCAGAATGCTTTAAAAATTCCATTCACAAGACAATTCTTTATAATAAAATTCTATTCAATCAGTAGACTCAAACTATTGAAAATGTTTTTGTTTGAGTTTGGTTATTTAAAAAAAAAAAAAAAAAAAAAAAAAAATAATTAAGACATGCATGTCCATCAACCTTAAACAATAATTTTGTCAAATTTTTTTTTCAGTATTTATGATGGTCGAACTTGATCTATCTTTTTTTTACATTACAGGACAATGTTTTCTCTTTATACCTAGTTTATTATAATTATTAAGAATTTTTTTTAAAAATATGAATCCATTGTGACAACAAAAAATTTCATATTTCAAAACTGAAACCAAAATTCGAAAAATTGAAAATCTATAGTCTCATTCCATTGTCAATAGAATGATTCCAAACATCCCTTGAGGATGAAACTGTCAACCAACAGATAAGGTGGTTTAATATTGAAATTAAACTTGAATACGCCCGACAAGTTTCAAAACACAGGAATTTCTGTGTCATGATGGAATCATATTTTTTAAAAATTATATATATATATATAATTTAAATATATGCTATATTTTGGGTTAAAAAGTGATCAATATCATAAATAGAGCATTATTTCATAAAAGTGGACATTAAATTTCGAAAACAGGTTTTGAAAGAGGTGACGTTCACAGGTGAAAATAAATTAAATTTTTAATAATGACAATCATAAAATAAGAAATAAATCAAAAAAGTTAAATAGTCCAAAAACTGTATCCAGATTCACATATTATTCCTACTCAATAGACCCTAGAATAATTCAAAACATAACCATTACTGCCCACCAAAATAACTGTCAGAATAATACAACAAGCGAACCACAATGCATCAGTGACCTGTATATATAAATATAATGAAAGCAAAAACAATTGCAATTTGCCTGACAATTACATTTACCATTTTCAAAAAAAGTTAAAACTATTTGGACTTTAATTAAAATTTTTTCGGATTAGGATTTAACCAGGCAGAAAAATTACTTTTGATACACCAATTTAATAAATTTAGGTTAAACCATGGCAGATAGGATAAATAAACCAGGCAGATAGATTAGGCTACACCAGGCAGATAGATTAGGCTACAAAGTATAACTAGAAAGACATGGTATTAGAGAAAAAAGTTTAATCTGATAAATATAAAAAACAAAAAAATTTCTGCTATATACACCAGGCAGATTTTAAGGCTACACCAGGCAGATAGATTAGGCTACACCAGGCAAAATAGATTACCATACAATAAAAGGCAGATAGATTAGGCTAAAATAGGCAATAAAAATTAGTTTACACCATTTTAAATAAAGTTAAACAATACACCAAACAGATAGAGAATTTATTACAATAGGCAGATAAATTAAATTCATTAAATATTTAGGAAAAAAACAAACAGAAATTTAACACACAGGACATTAATGTTTGATTCAGCCACAAAGGAGATGTTTAAAGCCAAACCTAACAAAGGTTTTTCTGTAATTGTCAAGGAGGTATCAGCAATTGTACAATGGTTATTTTCTAAATTTTCATTATTTTTATATTAGGTCAAAAAAATAAAAATGCATTTTTTATTATTTAAAGACAATTTTATTGTAAAATTTCTATTGTGTGCATGCATCTGCACATTTGAGTGTGTGAAAACATTCATATGTGTCTTTTATTAGAATTAATAATTTTCTCTTTATATATCAGGAATTGATTATTTTTTTAATTTATATTCTATATCTACATGAAAACAATATGTATACTTTTATATATCAAGAACAATTTTAAAAGTAAAAAATATTTTCATTAAAATATATTGGATTATTTTTTTTAGGACTTCAGATTAAAGTATTGTTTGGGTTGATGACTACAAATCATTTCTAATTTTTTGCCACAATCTTTATATAATATAAGATATTTAGATGACACAGTATGAGATAGATGAACAGAAAGGAAACTACAAAACCTCATACAGAAGATAGTGAAGGAGAGCAAGAAGAAGGGATTAAGCATACACTACAAGAAAACAGAATGTATGGTTATCAGCAAAAGGATGATGAAATACAATTTACAGGTCATATTTTAAAATCAAGCAGGTGCAGAAATTTAAATATCTGGGAAGTGTTCTAACAGAGGAAAGAAATTAAGAATATAAAATGGTGTTTCCAAATATCTTTCAAATGCAACCAAATTATTAATTGAAAAAAACAGGAGAGTTTTGTTTAATGAAAAAAGAAAAGAGTATTGAACTGTTTCTATAATGAATATTTGTCCTTAATTTATGGCAACAAATGCTGGATAAAATAGATCAAAAGATGAAAAAAGACAAAGATAAATGGAGGTATGGTTCTACAGAAGGATGCTAAGAATACCATGGATAAACATTTGAGCATTGGATGTCATTTTTTTGAGAGATGCAAACAAAATGAAACTCATTTAACATGGGGAAGAGGCAGCTGAAATTTCTAGGACACATAATGAAAAAAAAAAGGGCTTGGAAAATCTGATATCACAGGACGGATGAGGTTCAAGAGGACAAGAGAAAATTTCAAAATGTGACATACTTAACGGGCTGGCTTAAAGTGAATGGTAGATGGGCATTTAATTAAAAAAAAAGACAAAACTTATTGAGAGCTCTTTCTGGGAAAGGAAAAATGGAGAGCTATGATCGCCTACGTCCTGAAGGGACAAGGCATATAAAAGAAGAAGACTACACATGTGCAGGAGGGGAAACAAAAATTTTAAATTTAAATTATTTTTATTTTAAATATGTGTTTTAGGTAATACATCTAACAAATTTCATTTACTTTTTTTTTCTTTGTTTCTATCATTTTTGATATTAAGTATCCCACCTTGTGATAATAGAAGATTTGTAATCTTGTAAGAACCTGGATGTAAATTTACTGTGGCTGATCTAGCAATTAAAGCACTTTCTATACATTTTTGTCTTTGCAAATTGTTAGAGTAGCTTTTTTTTTTTTTAAATTAAAATTATGGTTGTACTCATTATGTATCATATTTTACAGTAAGTGGTTTTTCTTAGCATTTTGGAGTAGTTTTGTATAAAAAGAATGAAGACCATTTTTTTTGCTATAAAAGATGATGCCCAGTACTGTCGTGTTTGACTATGGTAAGCCAACTAGTAATGCTCATAAACTGTGGTCACTTTATACACGGGCTATATGATAAGATCAGGTTTTGCACAAAAACATTCAGGGCCCACACTATACCTGAAGTAGACTTATACACAGGTATTCACGGAATTTCAGAAGAGTTTCTGGCATACCTGATGTTTCTCTGTTAAGTTCAAAGTTCCAGTTTCCATTAACTTAGCCTGCACTTGGGTGGCCAAAATTGGACATCTATATTTAAAAAAAAAAAAAAAAAAAAAAATTACATTAAAATAAAAATATATAAATTAAAACATTTCTCTTGTAAAAGTTCAAATTTTAATAAATCCGTAATATTTATACACTGACTAATACCCTCATCTTTGTTGCTATTATGAAGTTTCTGATATTGTACATCTGGCCTTCTTCAGGTACAAACCAAAACATTAACATAAAAACTTTAGTCATATTCTTAAATAGCCTCATCAAGACTTTCATATGGATGACATGCATCGTGTCAAACCTGTTCAGAAATATCTAAACTATCAGCTGTATACAACCGCTTTCTCAGATCGATGGTTAAAAATGGCTTTGATTGAATGAAGCCTGTAGGACTTAGCAAGAATCATGAACAAAGAATTGTACCAAATAACAGAAACCACATCAGTTGAGAACTTCCAACAAAAATGGATAACACATGCAACTTGAACAGAAAAATAATGACATAATCAAGAAGTCGACGTTCCACAGTACTTTGAACAAAATACTAGGAAAGAACCCCCCCCCCATCAATAGTGAAAAGAGCAATTAAGAGTTTCTAAAATTGAGAAATCTATTTCCCTGAAAAACTGTTTTGATAGAAAGATTTTATAAATTTCAGCTTAAGGTAGCACTGGTTGCCTGGTCAATGAATGCCAAATGTTTCTTTATAAGGAAACAGCTAATATTACCATTACTATTAGAGATGAGGAGAACAGATACTACACTGATCCCAGCTTGAGGGCCAAGGAATAAAGAATAGTATAACTCTAGAAGAACCTGCTACTTGGTCAATTAATGTTGTTTCATTATAAGGAAACAACTAATATTACCATTAGAGATGAAGAGAACAGATACTACACTTTGATTCCAGTCCGATTGCTATGGAGGGAAGGAAGGCATAAATGGATAGCACTGGTTGCTTGGTCAATGAATGCCAAATGTTTCCATATAAGGAAACAGCTATTACCATTAATATTAGAGATGAGGAGAACAGATACTACACTTTGGTCCCAGCCCGATGACCAGCTTAACACATATATTGCACATTATATAGTTAAAATTCCAGATAAAAATTAATGTCATTAATATTCATCAGAGACTACATCATTTGAGGACATTCAACAGTCGACAACTAAAATGGGTAGCATATGTAATGTGAAGAGATAATAATGACCTAGTCAAGATGTTGACGTTCCACTCTACCCCAAACAAAAGGCAAGGAAGGAAACCCCGTCAATACTAGAAAGAGCATTAACAGAATGCTGAATGTTTCCTTATAAGGAAACAGCTAATATTACCATTACAATTTTCCTGAGAAAAATGTTTTAAGAGGAAGATTTTATAAATGTCAACCAACTGTAGCACTGACTGTTTGGTCGATGAATGCTGAATGTTTCCTTATAAGGAAACAACTAATATTACCGTTACCGGAGGAGATTATACTGAACTTTTGTTGGGTGAAATAAATGCATTTTTTTTTTTTTTTCATTGTTAAGCTTACGCATTTATTGATTGATCAATTTAAAATCTTTAATATTAACAGAAAACACTCACAAATGGTCCTCCTTGTTGACATTATGTTTATCATTGATGTCCCTTTGCAAGTGAATGGCAATATTGGGAATCCGCAAAATGGGTTTTTTCACGTTGATCAGTCGATGTTCAATATGGTTGGTTGTCTTAAAAAGAAACACAAACCAAAAAAATTAGAGAGTAAAAAAAAAAATCAAAATATTTGCCTTTGAAAGTTTTGCATTTATACAGAATCTTTTTCAACATTTGATGTTTTTTTGGGGTTTTTTTTTGTAATTTTCATTTGTTGATTAATCCATACCTACTGAACATACATATAAAAAGGCATTTTCATTACAGGAAGATTCATGGAGGATAAAGATTTTAAAATTACGTCATTTGTAACAATCACTGGCCAAACAATGCATGATAAATACAAGAGAAAGTATAAACTGATCCTTTTCAAACCCTTTGCAATCTCTTCCACTGAAATCTTCCATTTATTCTCTATAATGGCAAGCAGAATGTCTTCATCAATACCAGAATGTGACCTGGAGTGTGGTTGATCATTAAAATCGCCCCAACAAAATCTGCCAGACCACTTCCTGAAGAGCTGAAACTTATTCCTTTCAGGAGAAATTCATAGAGCATAATCTGGGGAAATGGCAATTTTTCATCCCCCATCTTTTGTGGACAAAATGTCAACATTCAACAAAGTCTGATTCACAACTGAACTATGCAAAGTTTCAATCTAGAACACACCAGAAATCTGCACTAAAACAAATGTCAGTATCAAGTTGCAGTCCTTTTATATTAACAATGAATATCAAGCTCAAACTTTTGCAATGATCTGTGATCATATATATATATATATATATATATATATATATATATATATATATATATATATATATATATACACACACACACAGAACATATACATACATAATATATATAATTGGTGTATACAGAATGAATTCCAATAACCAACAATTACTATTCTTAAAAGAGTGCTCAATACAAAGTAGAGCAGATATAATTATTTATTTAGAAAATTTATAACAAACATATTATAAAATCACTACAAAAAGATCGTTAACGAATTTGAAACTTAAAACCATTTGTTTTGCATTCAACATCATCACTTGATAAGACACCGGGAGTGTTGAAGCAAAATGGCTATTTTTGTAGTGATTTTATAACATATTTATGTTATAAATTTTTAAATAAATATAATATATATATATATATATATATATATATATATATATCTAACTCTTGTTAATGCACATCCAAACCCATTACTTTTTCAGACAGACCTTGCATATCACCTAAGTAAACTGAAAAAAATATAAAAATCAGTAAAACAAGATAGTTACTAACCTGTACCATGATTCGGCCAGCCAAAGTCAGATCTCGGTCCAACCAAGTATTCCAAATACCACCTCCATATGACTGCACACTTAGCATCAAATAACTATAGTTTTTTTTTTGATATACTAAAATTCACCTAAAAATGATTTTCTCAAAAAAATATTTAGTCTTCTCAATTTATATTAGATGGATTTCCCAAAATTATAACTCTGGAGGATTCTATATTTTTTATTAATTATATATTAATTTGACAAATTAAAAAAAAAAAAAAAAAAAAATGCAAATATTTTTCAAATTCTCAATAAAAATATTTTCTCAGGATTGATTTTAAATAAATCTTATACAGCTTTATATATTTTGACACCTTCAGTGCTGTCTTTTATTTGACCTCTTGCAGAAAACACTTATTTGACCTCTTACATAAAGCTGTTTATGTTGGGTTTACAATCAGAAATTGCTAAGTAAATGTTATTCAAGTGGATACATGTGTTTTTAGTGGACATCTGGAAAAAGTTGAATGTTATATTCAGTCAACATCATGGTGTTAAAAGAATAAGGAGTTTGATTAAAATTTTCCATCTATTCATCTTTGACAGAGCCTTACAACTCAATACAGGGGGCCTACAAGTGCCTTGAACAGGTAGTAAAAATAGAAGACCCTATGTCTTTTGTATTCTGCACCATGCCATTACACATAAAAAAAGAACCCAGTCATAGCTGGGAGACAGTTTTTAGGAAAAATCCATTACATTAAATACATCAGGCCATTAACGTTTATTAAGACTGCAACCCCTTGCTTTATTTCAACAAAAGTATTGGAGCAAGAAAATAAAATTCTTTGTAAAACCAAAAAGATTTAAAAATATTTCAAGGAAAATGGCAGCATCCACTAACGTAACAAAGAAAAATTTTCAATGAAATACAGTTTTATTAAATTCAATCAACAAGATGTGTCTCTTTAATTTTTTAATTCTATTTTTCTAATTTTTGAACAAGATATTGTGCATCAGGACACAAATTGTGGATAAACAGTCTGAAGTTCATGTCTATTCTATCATTTTAAGTCATTTCAACCATCTCAGTTATTATCAAGAATCATGTGCTGCCAGTGTAATAGGTAAGATCCCATTGCTTACATGCTAGTAACGTGATCCCTTTTCATCAAATTCAAAGGGAAAAGGAGAAAGTGAAAGAAAAAAAAGGAGAAAAGAGAAAGGAAAAAACAGATAGAGAAAATGAGAAAGGAAAAAGAAATCATATGCCATCTTATACGTGGAGGCTAATTTCAGTGTTCATTTCCATTAGCTATAATCAATCTGACACTTTTTTTTATATTACCGATTCAAATATCACCATTACTGTTACTATTATTATTTTTTTAAATAATGTTAGTAGTAGTAATACAGTAAAAGGTATTATAGTAACAATGTATTGATGACATTTGTCGATATCAGCTGATCGATCATCCTTAAATATGTCTCAACATAGTCCTGTTGTTAACCTGCTGGAAACAACGGAACCAAAAGATGTAAATGAAAGATAATACAGCTACATGGAAAAAGAAAAAGTGTTTTTGATTTAATGTCCAACTGTACTGGTCACTTGATTTTTATAAATTTTTTTTTTAAGCAATTTCCAAGCTTTATTTGCATGAACATTAGAAATTATGATTTTGGAATTTTATCTTCAACTGAACTGATGGCTTTTTATATATAATAATGTACTTGGCTAAAAGTGCTTTTCTAATATTTCTGTACTGATAAGTTTCCTTTAAGTATTTCATGTTTAAATAAAGTGAAAACAGTATTTTTCCTTAATATGTCCATTTGAAATACAATATAGATATAATGTAAAGATTTATGATAATATACACTTTTGAATAAATTTGTTGATCCATAGGATCCAATCCATAGGAATGACTGCTAAGAACACCCCCACCTTCCAAATTCATAGTCAAATCTCATGCTGGGATTTCTTCTTAAGCAATAAAAATCAACCACTTCTGTTTCATTTGCCATATTTCTTATCTTGAAGCCAGAATGCTATAATCACTTGACTGTATCTCTTGTGTGTAAGCACAATTCCTACTTTATGAACATTTTGCCTTACTACTGTTGCTTTGTCTAGTTTTGAAAGGTTAATATACATTGCAAATTTGTATTATTTTGCCCTGTTCTAAGAAATTTTTTCTTATATTCTTTGATTTTTTGTCAATTCCATTTGTTTTAATTTTGCCAATAATATTTTAACCATGGACAATTCCCTGGCCAAAAAAATTAACCACCCATTAATAATGCTGGTAATTTCTATCATTCTCAGTTAATATGGTAAGAGAGAAACATTCCCGACAAATGATTATCAAATAAAGGGAGATAACTTTAGGAATGAACTGTAAAATGTTCCTGCATGGTTAAAATAAAAAAAATTAAAGCAAAAGAAAAAGCTAATTTTAATAACTGCCCCCTATTGGCATTTAGTAAACCTTTTTTTCTTTTCATAATGTTCGAGTATATGAGACAATACTAATGGAGAATAAGACAGTGTTAATGACTAAAAAAAAAAAAACTATCATATAGCATTGGTTTAAAAAAGCGATTGGTTGACCTACTACAATCTCTCTTTTAACAACAACAACATACTTTCAGCAGGAGTGAAAAAGTAGACATATTCTTAATCCCTGAATATGGCCAGTACATTGTGGACATGTTCATAATTGATGTTGTTATGGATTAGTTTCTTGTTTTTTATAATAACGACTTTCATGGGAAATTAAGAATATGTCTACTTTTACTAACTTTATACCATCTATAGTAGAACTTACACACCATTATAATAGTATAATAATAAATCCTTAGTTTAGTAAAAATTGCTTAAAATTTTGTATTTCATTAAATCCAGAAAATGAAACATATATATACACACTACATACATATACATAGAAACTTAGATCTTCCTACCTGCAAAAAAAATGGATTGTCAAAAGGACGGCTTTCCCTTTGACACTGCTATTATTTTAACTACCTTTGCTCCTCAGCAATGTTTGTTAAAAAAAAAAAAAAAGTGATGATTAGAATTGTAATAAGACTTAAACATGATGGAAGTGAATTTATACATTTTTTTTAGTTTTTTCTGAGTTTACAACAAAAATATTAAATACTATTAGATGTTATATTCCGTGCTAATAGGAATATATACTTGACAAACACGGTGGATAAAATAAGTAAAGGTTTATTGTAATAAACCAATACAATAAGAATAAAGGTAACAGTTATGCACAAGGTCGTCACAAGTCAATCCAGTAGTGAGTGCTGCTATTGGAAGGTTGTTAGTTCTCGCATGATACTTAAAGGTAGTTTCTACCTATAATGTAGTCACTCATGGGGGTGACAGGTTATTCCATTACATCATTAGGTTATTTACAAGAATAATTTCATATTTACAACATTCTAAAAACTAATACCATTAAAACTAATGCAATGCAACATTCATCATTTACCAATTTATAAAAAAAGAAATGTAAAAACAATTTTTTATTCATAAATTTATAGACATTAACTAAATTAAAATATGTGAACCAACTCTAAGGAAATAATTATTTATCATTTTATAAAGTTTGAATCAATTGGCAATTAGTCAATGTCTTGCCAACATTCCAATAAAACAATCTAATAAATAGTGTAGATCAGGGTTCGGCAGCTCATTCAACCCCGCGGACCAGACGAAGGCCATTAATGAAAAATTACATATGCAGACCCCTGTCAACATAAATATTTAAAACCATAATGAAAATAAACATTGAGAAATCAGAAAAACAGAAGAAAATCTAAAATTAAAAAACACCTAACAAAAATTTTCCTCAAGGAACATCAAACTACTTCAAAGTGAAAAAAATCAAGTGAAATGGATGAAATTGTGATGTGTAGGTTTGAAACTGTTATTGAAAATTGTTCCGTAAACGAAACACACACACACATCAAACAAAAATGAAGCACATATACCCATACACACAAGTACAAATAGTTACAAACATATACACTTACGTACGTACACATGCGGTATCATCCACACATTCATGAGGCATGTATGTATAATGCGCGTATGTTTAACTGTCTTTAGATTTCTGCTACCTCGCATGTCAGTCCCTCCCTGGCCTCTTTCACTTTATCGTTCCTTTCGCTTCTGTTATCTTTTGATGTAGCCAAGAGTCATAACAAATATGTATCCATTATTTGACATTAAACGTAGGCAACGCAACTTGGTAAAATAAGTCATGAAAGATAACTGGCAGATAGTCTAATATTTTTAGTGCACTGAGATGTGTAGACATTCTATGGAAAATGACATATAACAAATTTCATTTGAAGGTCGTCTCTCATGTTAAAAATAGAGTCATTGGTAATCAGGCTCATGGGCCAGTTAAAATGCCTTCGCAGGCCGGATCCGACCCACAGGCCATAGGTTGCCGACCCTTGGTGTAGATAAATATTCTAATAGTGTTTATTCTTTTTGTTGTCAATACTCAAGAATAAAAAATGCATAAATTCACTTTCTTCATATGTTTAGGTTTTATTACAATTTACAATTCTAATCATCACTTTTTAAAACAATAAACATCACTGAAGAATGAATGTAGTTAAAATAATACTGGAGCCAAAGGAAAAGCTAACCTTTTGACAGTGTTTTTTTTGGTGGACTTGAAGGTCCAGGTTTGCCATATATCAATCACAGAGTTTCAAGAATATTCTGCCCAAAATTGTTTGAAGTCTTATTTACTCTCCCTCATATTAAGAAAAATGAATATTTAATATTTTGTTCATAGATTATATGAAATTATTGTCTACTTTTAAAAATTTTCTTTGCTTTTTTTTTTTTTGTTTTAAAATTTAAACTAATGGAGTAAATGATATTCAGAAAAGGAAAATTTACCTTGAGGCATGGACTGTCTGTGTGGGCACCAACAAAACTGAACCCATTCCCAGGCTGGTACCTGCCACCAACCGCAAAAGCAATTATTGTAGATTCATTTCGGGTCACAAAATACTAAAAAAAAAAAAAAAAAAAAAAAATAAATAAAAGTTAAAACATTACCACAAATTTGAATAAACTACAAATAGAATTATACATATAAGGGCCTGATTGTGTACAGGGAAAGCTTTCATTTGTAGCTTTACAAAACTGGGTTGTCTGCTTTTAGTATTAAGTATAAATATTAATATAAAATACTAGTGGACATAAAGTGGGGGATCGGTTTTCTATTGTTGTCAAGTGTTAATCTGATCCCCCAAAAATATATATTAGTATAACTGAACATCAGCCTTTGTGTAAAGATTACTTTTTTAACTGTCTTATACTCCCAGGCAAAGAAATTCCAGGAAAAATTCATTTTTCATGTATAAAAAAAATTTTGATTTTATTTTAAAAAAATGACCAAAACTTGTGAAAAAGGAAGAGAAAAAAGACAACAACAACAACAAAAAAAGACGGGACATTTTGTTCATGTATCATTTTGTATTTTTTTTTTTTTTTTATTGTAAATTAAATACTACTCTTTACCTTTGAATGATTTCCAAAATCACAAAGGTCTCGAGACTCAACAAAATCTGGAAAAAGTATCGACTCATATGGGACATAGAAAAACATGAAAGATTTATTTCCCTTTGTTGCAATACACCATTAGAGAGATATTATCTCTCTGGTAAACAAATAAATCCAATCTGACTTGATTTTGTCAATTTTGAGTCCTGAAACAAATTGGTTCGAGTTCTAAACTAAAGTATAAGCCACAGCAGACTTTTGGACACGATTTTTGACTTAAAAAAACCTGCATCTTATACACCCGCCATCTCTTACTCATCCTATAGTCAATTTAGCAGGAACCTATTGTATCATAATAATAAGAGTAAAACTGTTAAAAAAAAAAAAAAAAAAAAATTCCATATGTACAACAGGTAAATTTAAAATTTTAAAATAATTATAACAAAGTGTATTCAAACCTGTTTTTAAAAATCACCATGACGACAATGATCACAGTTACAATAAATTTGTTTTTGTAATGCACCCTTGGGGATGATCTTGGAAGAGACTGAATTTACTTAGGGTAGAAAAAAAACATATACAATCTGATTATAGTGGTAAAGAATTGAGCACAACCAACCACAATTTTTGGAAGGACAGGGAACTGATCAAATAACCATTACACTACCGGAACATCAAGATTTTAGATATATAGATAAACCTCTAATCTACAGACCCCCATCAATGGACTTCAGATGCAACAGACAAAATCTGCAGTATAAAAAAAAAAAAAAAAAAAAAAAAAAAAAAAAACGCCAGCAATGTATTTCAAAATTTGAGGGGTTAGTGGAATGAGTCATATTAGTTCTCAATGTGACTGCTTGGTGGGCCTTTCAATTGAATACAAAAACGGAAAGTGTGATACATTAGCGCCAGCGTGTGCAAGAAAAAGTAGCTGTGAAAAATCTATTTTTCTTATTTTGATTAATATATCTATAATAAGCATATATTTATGCTCTCTCTCATATATATATATATATATATATATAAGTTTGGTGAGTTGTTTTTGTTCAGTGGCATATCAACTGCTATGACACGCACATTATATATATATATATATATATATATATATATATATATATACATACACATACACACACACAACAATTAAGAAATGTAGATACAGCCTACCATGTGCATAAGCTTAAAATTAATGATTTCCCTGACCAATATTTTAAACAATAGGAGTTTGGCTGGTGGAGGCATTGGTCACCCAACATTTCAAAACAATGTCTCAGAAGTAAGCCATCAAGAACAATACAATTTTCTAACCAGAATTTGGTTAAAATAAAACAGATGACAAAATCTGATTTGGTATGCCAGCCGATTGTCTCCCCCCCCCACCTGTTTGAGGGTGAGAGAGACGGGGGCCAACCTACTCTTCCTGCAACAATAACAAAGAAAAAGAAATGAGTTAACAGAAAACCGGGTGGGTGGAGGCAACAGTCAAAAGTCGGGCCTTGGTGATTTATTGCTTTTGTCTAAGTAGAAGACAAAACTAAACTGTGAAATTAAATTTTTAACCATCTTAAAAGGTCATTTTTACTTTCCATCAGCATAGCTGATGCTAACCACCAGGTGAGTAACTCCCTACCACTGTAATATAGCTTCTCTGTACATTTTTCTATTAATATTTTCATGGCAATTATTCTGAAGAGCTTTCAAGTTTGGTACCTTAGCTTCATGAATATAAGTGCAGTACTAGATTGGCAGATAGGTCTCGTCATTTTACAGCTGAAATTGTTAAATGTAACCATAATTCTAATAGTTTCTTCTTTCACACTAAAAAAAAAAAAAATAAAATTCTCTTTCTGCTTTTTGCTTCCTTGTCAACTACAATCTTCAAACAATTAAATCCAATGTCAATTGTCATCTTATGTAGCCTTGAATCCTGTTCTTTTTATTATCCTTTCTCCTCAGCAACTTTTTCTTACTTTCCTTCATGCTTTCCTCTTAACTACAATTTTCAAAAATTTAAATGCAACATCAATCGTCATCTGTCTTCTTGAATCCTGTCCTCTTTGTCTTTTCTCCAATAATGTTACTGCAGTTTCTTTCACTCTCAGTAATCCCCTTGCATCTTAGTGGCTTTATACTCTTGCTTGAGCAAAATGATTATATAAAAAAAAATGCTGGATGCTTAAATTAGTCATCATCTGTTTCCTGGTAAGATATTGTCACTTAGCATCTCAGACTTTAGAAATTTGGCCAAACAATATCCGACATTGTCAGGAACTTCTAAGATGAAGCTCCATTAAAATTTTGCCAAAGACGACATCTCCACCCTTAAAAGATTCAAACCCAATTCACTCTGCTTTAAATCGCAGGCTCGTAAACAAATATTTGTAAAGTAGCAAAATAAACAACATGGAGACCTAACTCTGAATTAACTATCCATCATTTGAAGTGATTGGTTGATATACAGATGTCCTAGTGAGTCGATAGAATATTCTTATAGAGCATCTTGTCAATTCAACATGTAAACAGTTTTTGAGAAAGAAACTGTGGCAAACTTTAACATTCATATCTGCAAAAACAGCTTTTTAAAACAATAAAAACTGTGACAAGAATATACAGTAATTGTGGTGTCAACAGAATAACTTCTTTTAACAACATTTTTTTTGTGGATACAAATGTTGAACTTTGCCAAAACAGTAATTAGTATGCAGAAAGTTGGGGGGGGGGGGTTAATTTTTAGAAATTGCAAGAATATAACAATAAATAGGTACCAAATGGAACAGGTGCTAAAGTCTCAAACTTACACAGACCTTCTATACACAGACTTTTGGATTTCCACAACCTTTTTTGGTTATGGAAACCCAAATTTCTGAGAGAAAGAGATGCAATGTGCAGAAGATGTCAATAAACAAACCTTTTTAGACTGTTCCAATTCCCAGTGTTCAGTTTCCCGTAGTTCCTGGAAACCAGCTGATTTCAGCATGTGTTTAAGCTCATCAACAGCTGAAATAAGAAAATAAGCAAAAAATGAACACATATTTGGACTAACATTGATACAATTGTAAGAATTCTTTGACAAAATGTTTTTTCACATCATACCAGGATGATACACCATTTCAGCCTAAATAAACATGGCTTCATATTCTAAATTTAAAATCCATTAAGAATGTAACAATTTTTCAAATAGTCACCTGAATGTCAGATGTAATGAAACTGGCTCTGATCAAATGCAGTTTAAAAAAAAAAAAAAAAAAAAAACAAAAAGAAAAACATACTATAGCAAGAAAATTAAAGTTTTACCTCATCAAATGAAAGTAAAAAATCATTGATAAATACGATAAAAAAGAAAATTACTTACCAAAAAAAGACACACACACACACACACATTCCTGCATGACATGCTGAAGACAGACTATTTAAATTAAAAACAAGTTGATTTGCAGGAGTCTCTATAAAAGTATTTTGTTAATCAAAAATTTTCAAATTGATTTCAGTTTTTCTTTTAATGAAAAAACTGCTTTTGACCGAAAAAAAAGCAGCTGGTGTTCTCGATTCGGGAAAAAGTCCTGATGTATTTTGGCTGTTGTTCATCGGAGAGGGAGTTATTTTCTGACTGGTTACGTGCATTGGGATTTTGAGATAGTACCTGCGAAACAATTTTCGCATTTTTCTTTCTGTCCCCGATATTCAAGTGTTAACTTACAGTGATTTGTTCTCTGCGTTGTGGAATTAATCTGCGACAAACCTTTCCTTTGCTTTCAGAATGCTTACACATACATTTAACGTGTCCAATCTAGACTTATGCAGATGTCATGCATAGTTTCTAACTCCTTCAAAAATTTCTGTCTGAATTCTGAATACTTTTGGACTATTGTTTACAGCTTTGTTGCTATCACATTTTGGTCATGTTACCTAGATCAATATATACCTGATGAAGGATGGAGGACAAAGCATCCAAAAGGTGATGACAACAAAGATGAGAAAAATAGTTTGAATGTAAATAGTGTAAATAATCATTCATGTATTGTTATACACAACTGTTTTTTCAAATCAATGATTAAAAATGGCTCCAAGTGAATAAATCCTCCTAAGTCTTAAAGAAGACAATCCATCAGGAGATTTTATGGACTGGTGCTACAGAACCACAAACAAAGCACTTAACCAAATAACAAAAATCACTTCACTTGAACATTTCTTGTATGGTAATAATTGCCGTTTCACTGTAAGGAAACATTTCACATTCATTGACCAAGCAGCAAATACTGTTTTCAGTTGAGATTTATAAAATCTTTCTATTAAAACAATTTTTCAGGGAAATGGGTTTCTCAAGTTCAGTAGCTCTTATTGCTCTTTCCAGTATTGATGGGAGTTTCCTTCCTAACCTTTTATTTGAAGTCGTGTGGAGTGTCAACATCTTGATTATGTCATTATTATCTCTTTCAGTTACATGTGCTATCCATTTTAGTTGTTGCTGTTATTGGAAGTCCTCAAGTGATGTGGATTCTCTTATTCGGTAAAGTTCTTTGTGATTTTGTAGTAGCAATCCACAAGGTTCAAAGAAGGATGATCTTTCCCAAGACTCTCTGGAAACAGCTCACCTTATTATTGGTTTTAACCTGTGAAAATTTCATGGTTTTTCTATTTTAATATTCTGATGAATGTTAATTTTTCAGTTAATGACTGAGTAAGCTCATGGTGAGTTCTACAAAAATAAAATATCCATAGAAATTCCCCTATTGCATTGTTAATTATTTGAGCTTAAATTTTACAAAATATTGCAATAATAATCAGAAATATGAATGTGGACCTTTATTTTAAGAAGTGGGTACAAGTAAAAAGATTTGAAATTGATAACTTTTCCCTTTTCAGTGAAACCGCCATTAAATGCATCTATCTTCACTTCTTTCTTTCAAATCATTGATTTTTTTTCTCAATGAAACCAAGTAATGTCTTTTCCCCTCTTTCCATGTGTTCAAAATAGAATAGTCCATTATTTATAAGGAATTGGCAAGGCATAACGGTCATGCGAACTAACGAAGGGAGAGACAAGCACAATTATAATAGGATTCCCATATAGCAGATGTAACTAGAAGTGAAAATCACAATGTTGAATTTACACATTACCTTAAACCAAAGGTTAGGAAAGAAATTTCCCTTAAGTACTAGAAAGAGCTATAACAGTTACTGAACTTGAGAATTGAACCCATTATTTCACCCAGTAGGGTAGATTGTACTAATTTGGAAGAGGTATGGTCCATGGAACTAGAACAATCTAACCTGGCGGATGAAATAAAGGCTTCAGTTCGAAATTCCCATCACCTGAAAAAGGCCAGAAAGTACAACAGCCAGATTTAATAAAAAAAAATAAAAAAAATCATTTCACCCCATGCAAGGCAACAATACCACTAGAATGCAGGGTGTTACAGGGAGTGAAAGTGAAAGAGAATGTGAAGACTGAGAATGGGGAGGATTGAAGAAAGGACAAAAAAGAAACAGGGAAGACATAAGAAGGCAATTGTCATTGCATTTAAATTTTTAAAGATTGTACTTACAAGAAATTAGGAGAGAGTCCCACAAACAAGAAGTGTGAGAAAAAAAAAACTGTTAAACTCATGTAGTCAGGGGCACTGGGCTGGGGAGTTGACAATTGGTAATTTGGTAAGCCTGAATCATCCTACTTTCTATTTTAATTTCTCAAGCCATTTGTATCAAATTTCCTCTTTATGTGTAAACATTTTTAAAAAAGGAATGATTTAAAAAAAAAAATAAAATTTATCAACAACCGTACCTCGCCTGACTAAATAGAAATGTCAGTCAACCACCCACAGCTTTTATGACATTAACACCATTCATAGGTCATAATTATTCATCATTTTCTTTTCTGTTAACAGATTTCGTTTTTTATGCTTTATGTAAAATTGATAGTTTTTTTTTTTTTTTTTGGTGGTGGTGGGCTTTGTTATCTTTTTATTATCGACATTTCAATGCAAAATTATAGACACAATTTATCATTTTTCATTGAATTGCTTTAAAACTATTTATTAAAATAAATACTTTTAAAACAGAAATATTTTTAATATCTGCAGCTATGTCAAAAAGACATTGGCAAAAGCTATGTTAATGAGAAAGCACACAAAGAGTACATACCTCTGCCAATGTTATAGCCAATAAAAACTGAAAGCAAATCAAATCATGAATATAGGACATGAAGAAGAATCTCTTGGTACCTCAGCTTCAGTCCCTCTCCCCCCACAAGAACATAGCTTCCCTGTCTCCTTTATGTACTGTGTCCCCTCAGGATGTTGATGATCATGGCTCTCCACAATTTCTTGTTCCTTGTAGCTCTTTATAATTTTTTTTTTTTTTTTTTTGTTATTTCTCCTAAACCCTGTTCCACCATCCACCTACTCAAGCTCATCAAGTATGTTATGTGGTATTTTCCTGTCACTCTTTCCTGTGAGTATCAGATTTTCCAAGCCCTCCTTCCTCATTATGTGTCCTCGAAATTTCAAAACTGTCTCTTCCTGATGTTAAGTAAAAGTGTACTTTTTGTTTCTGTAGAACCTAATTTCTATTGCTTCAAGTCTCTTCATCTTCAAGGAGTTTCCAAGAATTTACTGCCATATACGAGAACATATCGCATAACAGTTCAGTACTCTTTTCTTTATTTCTAACAAAGTTTTTGTCTCTTAATACTCTGCTTAGCTTTTGGGAGGCATCTTTGGCCATCCCAATACATTTTCAGGTTTCAGTGTTGCTCTTTCCATCTTCTGTTAGAACACTTCCCAGATATTTAAATTTTTGTACTGGTTTGATTTTCTTATCTCTGATTTGTAATTTGCATTTTGGACTCATCTTTTTGCTAACACCCTGTCTTCTTGCAATTGATGTTTAGTCCTTTCTTCTCACTTTCCTTCACTATCTTCTGTAGGAGCTTTTGTAGTTTTTGTTCCATGTCTGCTATCAACACTGTCATCTGCATATCTTCTTGTTAAGATTGTGGCCATCAATAATGAATCCTCATAGGATTTATAATTCTCTCAGAATCACCTCGCTGTATAGGTTGAATAAGTCTGGTGAGAAGACACATCCTTGTCTTACACCCCTTTCTATTTTTGTATATCTGCTGAACTCATTTTCTATCTGTATGCAGCCAGTTTGCTGCCAGTATAAGTTCTGGATTATTCTAATATCCTTCCCAAATATATCAAGGTTGCTGATCTTTGTGGTGAACTTTATCAAACGCCTTTGCATAATCTATAAAGCACACTTCTGCATTTGTATTGCTCTTATGTTCTGAGCATAAATATTGCATTCATTGTTCCAATGTTTTTGATGAACCTGCACTATTCCTGTCCTATTCATCAGAATTCAGATGATGAGTTTCATTATATGGCTCATTGGGCTAATTGTCCCACAGCATTCACATTCGTTTGCATCTGGTTTCTTAGGCAGTACTATGAAAATAGATCTACTTAGGTCTTCCATATATCACCACTGTTTTAGATTTAATTTATTATTTTTGTAATCTTGTCTATACAAAATTCGTTTAAGGCTGGCAGCATCTATATTACAGTTCAGTCTGGCCCTGCCACTTTGTTTCTGTTCAATTTGCCTAGTGCAGCTGCCACTTCATTTTTTAATATTTCCAGTTCGTCAATATTTCTGTGTATTACCAGTTGTTCTCTTTCATCGTAGAAAAGCTTTCCAATTTATGCCTTCCATCTCTGAAGTATTTTTTCTTTCTCTAATGTCATCATTCCATCCTTGGAGCTTATGTATCCTGTTGATGAGCATGTCTTTTCTCCTGTTCATTTTTTTTTTTTTATGTATATCTGCTTTATCTGTGATTATTATTCTTTCTATTTTCTCAGATTTTTCATGCAACCTTTTGGGTCTATCTGCATTTATTCTTTATTTCAATGTGCAGTGTTCTATATTCTGTTCCAGCTCTTGGCATTTTTTTGTCTCCTAATAAAAGAATGTCCAGAATTTCATCTGCCATCTATGGGATGATCTCATTTGCTAATGTCACTAAAGCTTCTCTTAGTGTATCCCACTTTGACTTTCCTTTTTCATTTTCTCCCTCATATCTGCTTTCACACTGTCCACTTAAAATTGTTCTCATGAGCTTTCTTCTATGCTACCTAAACTTTAGGAATTTAAGTGCAGTACTAGATTGGCAGCAAGGTCCCATCATTTTACAGTTGAAATGGCTAGATGGAACCATAAGTTTTATACTAATAGTTTCTTCACTTACTTGTGGAAATCTTTCAGCTTCTTGCTTTCCAGTCAACTTTAATTTTCAAAAATTAAAATCGTTATCTTCTATCCTCTTAACCTTTATCACTCTGTATGTGACTTCAATTGCTGTGCAAAAAGTTTATCCTGTCATTGAAGGGGACTGATCCTTGAATTTGAATTTGTTTTGAATTTCATAGTTGTGTTGTCATATCTTGCTATGGCAACAGAAAACAGCTTTAAATGAAATTAACAATAAGGTTACTGCAATTGAGAAGCTTTGAAAAAGAATGCAGTGGAAAGGAAAGTAATATTAATAATGTAGAGGGTTAAAGGTTATTTTCTCTCTTTAATAATGTTTCCTTTTTCTCATATTTTTGCATTCAGTAACCCCTTGGGTCTTAGTGGCTTTATTGAAAGTGAAATGATTACAAAAATAAAAAAAATAATTTGTTATTTATTCAATAACTAGCCTAGAAGCAGCCCTAACTATGGACATAAAAGTTAAAATAATTTTATTATTTCTAAATTCTTATATTTTTATTCAACACCTTAATCTGGCATAATCTTTCTTCATCTACATAGTTTGTTTAAATTTATCTTGTGTTCAATTTTTATTTTCGTTTAGAATTGCCATTCTTCATGATCTCTTCATATAAAGTTTCTCTTAAAAAACGTTAGGGAACCCGAACTATGTAATATTTTAAATACGTCACAGTACGTATACTAAAAAAAACAAAAAAAACATGAGCAACATACTGTGCCCTACTTAAATTTTAATTACGGTTTAATTAGACTAAATCAGTTGCCATTGTGATGAAAAGCAAAATTAAAGTTAAATATTTAATAAAGGATTTTTTTTTTAAACTTTTCACTGTTCAATATTTAAATTTAACTTTAAATAAGTTATTTAATTTCTAATCATGTGTTACTTCAGAAAAAATGGACGGGCGACTGGATATACATACACTGCGCTGTATTTATACAGAAGATTGTTCAATCACATAACGCCAACAAACACAACATGAAAGCCAACAAATCCTTTCCAATAAAGTAAAAATATCACAAAGTGTAAAAAGCAACAACAAATACTAAAAGCATTACATATTAAAAAAAAAAAAAAAAAAAAAAACAAACAAAACTATCAACAAGAAAATTATATCTAATTTAGGACCAAACAACATGTAAAATATATCATGGAACTGACATATCATGGAAATTGACAATGCTTTTAAAATATCAAATTACAGAGAAATTGCAATCTATATTTAAATTACTCATAGACAAAGTGCAGCCAACGGGCCCCATGCAGCCCATTTAACTTTATGAATGGTGCACTTAATTACATTTTGTCTTTCACTTGTTCATTCACATTTCTTTATACCTGATTGCATATACAATAATGATTAAGTACAATGTGTTTACAATTTTGGAACTTTTTGGTGATGGTAATGTTTTCAGAATTTTAAACTATAAGCAATTTTTTATTAAGGAAGATCATATATGTAAACATCTTTTGTTTTACAAACAGGAAAAATGTATTTTTTATGTTTAAAAATTATTTTTCACATTTTCAGATGATTAAATTAGAAACCACTCATATGCAGTGGCATATTTTTATCATATTGTAATCTGCGATAATACTATTCCAAAACTTGTATTTTTTTAATTAGATGAAAAAAAAGATCTAAATGAAAAATAGAAGGAAAAAAAAAAAATTAAAAACAAAACAGAAGAGAAAAATTTAAAAAAAAAAAAAAAAAAAAAAAAAAGCGTTTTTTATGGTTTTGAAACCTAAATTTTATAGTAGTAAAGTGTTCTTGTCCGTGCTCCAAAATTTACTCAATTTTTCATTGATTTAATGCTTCACTCTTCCACATAATGAAATTCATTGACAGTTTCTGGAGATGGTGTATAGCATTTAGACACTTGAAATATAAAATGTTTAAGTTTTGATATTCAATCAGTATAATTACCATGGAAAGGAGATGGAGACTTGTTGATGAAGTTGAGGAGATTCTTTGCAGCATTCTGGACAATTTCCTTTGTGAACGACTAGAAAGAAAAAGAAATAAAAAGGAAAAAAAGTCAATGTTAAGTACCAATTTTGGTTTGTGGGTAAGTTTGTACGTTATTGTAACACAGAAAAACAGCACATCTTAGAAAGATTTTTGTTAGGGCAATACTGTTAAAATACTAACTTGAAAAATAAAGCAATCTTAAGTACATTTTACAATTATATAGTATAGGGTTTGCATTCATATTCAACCCTGTAAGAAGGGGATATCTTTTGTATTTTGGTTGCAAAAGCTGAAAAGAAAATGACATTGTGGGGGGAAAAATTTTAAAATTACTACAGTGAATCAGGAAATTACATTAAAAAGATATGTGCAGGTCCCAAGAGTCACAAAGTCGGCCATCACAAAAGAATTGATAGTCGTGTTGTACATGGGCAGCAAAACAACCAATTTTTTCTTCAAAGTTTCTGCCTCCAGCCCCTCAAAAAGGCAGGAGTTTATATATGCTAAAGATAAACACAATTAATCAAATAAACATTTATATAGCCTACAAAAGAAAGTTAAAAACAAGGTTCAAGTTTGTTCAATCATTTCTTTCAGAGAGCACAACACACGAGTGCTTCAATTGACAAGGTAAGATATTTTCTTCAGGTCACAAATAATGATGCTTTTATTTAGCAAAAAAAAATATATAGGAAAATGGTATTTATTTTTTATTTCATGCTTTGAAATTTAAATAAAACTTTTAGTATTTATTCCATGACTAATGAATATGAATTGAAATTCTTTATACTGCAGGCGAACCTAACAAAGAAAATGACCCAGAAATCTGTTGTTATCAGTAACTTTAGTAATTGAATGAACTTTAGGTACACACGTCATTCTCGACTGAAGTAAAGAATGCCATCATTACACAATATAGTTTAGTTTTCTCATGAGGCTCTTTAGGCTTCATTATAAGATTAATTTACTTGTTACCTAGTTTCTATTTTCAACAAGAGTTTATAACTTTAAATTTGGTATAATTGGGTTACAATTGTTCTTTTAAAAGATATATTGTTAAAAACAATAGACATTTTATGTCTATTAAATTATACCCCTCTTGAGCATTCAACATTCTCAATCCCACCCCATAAATACTGGCACTCAAAGTCTTAATGTTTATATGACGACGACTTGTGTTATTTGCAATGATGTCATCAGAGATTATGACAGAGTATACATAGGGCAGGTTGAACAGAGAACCGATACTTACAGGGCAAGTTTGGGCGTGTTGAATGCTAAGGGATTATGAATCTGTTTTTTCTAATGTACAAATATCCTTTTGAAAATATGATGTATTTTGTTGGACAAAATTGTGCTGTTCAAAGTTTCAACTCACACGAGTCATCATCAGAAGGTGTGAGCGAGAAAAGAAAATTAGGTGTACTTTAAGGAGATTGTATCTTTATTATTATTTAAAAAAATAATTCAAATGCCTTATTCACACTATTTAAATGAACTATTGTCCTCACCTTTCAACATCTGTCTATATTTCTGAAATGAGGTATTGTAACTATTTACACTGTTCGAACTGTTGTCCTTATCTTTGTTATATTCACAATGTTTCGCCCGTTATATGCTCTGGCCTTCTTCCGGTGATATACATTTGAATTTCAAACTGAACCCTTTATTTAGGATTGTTCTAGTTCCACATGCCATAATTTTTCTAGTTACCTCAGTATCAGTTATTTTCCTTTAGTAACTCAACTGTTCACCTCTGCTGTGGCCAGGTACTGAACTCAAAAACTCTTTGGGTCAAGTCATTGGATTACTTCAACCAATGCTTATATCTACTGGATCATGTGTTCTTGGGAATTAAATAAACGCTTCAGTTCAAAATTATAACATATCACCTGAAGAAGGCTGGAGCATACAACAGCCAAAACGTTGTGAATCTTACTTATTATAAAATGCAGATTGTGTGTGTGTCTGTACATTTATATATTGGATCGGATTTCCTACATTTTTCAACCGATTTCAATAAAACTTCACAGAACTACGTAAAATTACATTGCGGTGGTTCTGACAGCACCAAAAATGGAAAAACAATTGTTTTTGCATGAAATCAATTTGAAAAACACGATAAAACACGATTCTGTTACCAGAATGAAAGGGGGACAACTCATCTCGAGTTATACTGATTATAAAACCCAGGTTGTTTGTGTGTGTGTGTTCATTTATATATGGGATTGGATTTCCTACATTTTTCAACCGATTTCAACAAAATTTCGCTTTTTTTTTGGCAGGTAGTGTTTCTTATTGTCTTGCACACCTTTTTCTTTATTTTTACATTCAGAATGCTTTAAAAATTCCATTTACATGGCAATTGTTTATAATAAAATTCTATTCAATCGATAGACTCACGATTGAAAACAATGTTTTCGTTTGAGTTTGACCAATTCATAAAAAAAAAAAAAAAAAAAAAAAAAAAAAAATTGAAATCAAATGCAGCTAAATACTTTTGGCAACAATGTGTAATATTCTTTTAATTATGAAGGCGGATGCTGCAAAGTTCTCAGGATGGATATTTGGTCAGATTTTGGGCAGTGAGTCAAGTTGAGTGCTGGTTGTCACCGACTTCAATTCTTCAGACCCCATAGACTGCAGCAACAAAACAATTGCCTTTTCTTATCTCACTTTATTATATAAAGGACAGTACTTGTAGCATTATTTCCAGGTAACAAGTAAAATTAATCATATGGTTACTTTGTTATAAAAAGCCTAGTGAGAAAACAGAACTTTGTAGCTAAAACTCATTCAATTACTAAATCTGTTGTTACTGATATCAACAAGAGAGATTTTGGCGTCATTTTCTTTGATAGATTTGTCTGCAGTATTGTGACACTGGGATTGCCAGAGATCAAACAAAAAAAAGAAAGAGAAGAGAGTCTAATAACTGGATGAAAATTGTCGAAATTACAGGAAGATGGATTGAAAAGTTAAGAAAATTAGAAAAGAAATGCGTTGAAAAATCATGTCTTGAAATAATTCTAAGGAGAATCAAACCCAAATTTAATGAGACAGAATTCAGTAAGAGAGAACAAAACTGAGTCTACCCATCCTTCCCCACTTTCTACTGATAGGAAGGAGACCATTAAGGTATGCACAAAGATGTCAGATAAAATAAAAAACATGTCAATAAAGAAACCAGGGTAGTCGCTGAAATAAATAACATTCATGATTCCTCTAGAGAAAAGGTACCAGAAAAAAAAACATGTTTCAAATCAGTACCCCAGAAGAAAAGTATCCCCACAGAAATAAAGACTGACATGTTTGTCATTATAATTTGTGTGACATTCGTCCAGAGAAAATTTTATATCCAAACAGTAATTCAGATTCCTTTGGATACAAGTGGTAAGGAAAGATGAATTACTATTTTGAAGTGACCATGGACAAGAAGGCTGGGTGGTCTGTTCAATTATAATAAAAATGCATAAGAAAGAGAAAAGATAAACTTTTGTTTTAAGGGGAATGGAAATAATTTTTCTTTCTTTTTCCAATTCTTGTGTGGTCTGGTTGATTGAAAGATTCTGGCATGAGGCAAGCTAATAGATAGGGATTAATGACTGAAAATCTCTTTTGTTTTCATTGTGCCATCTGGAAATTGGATTTGTCACAGCAGCTCTGGAAGCTGGCTGATGTTGGCTGCTGTGTAAGAGAGGGGGAGGGAGGAGAGAGAGAGAGAGATTAGCACCACCTATATGGAGTGTGGTGCGAGGTGAGTTGGAGTTAAGGGGTGGCTCGATCCCTCTCACCACTCTCAAAAGGGGGCTGGACAACAAATTTGGTAAAACACTTGAGTAAATGTATTTTTATATATGGAAATTTAGTAAAGGTTGATGCTTAGGGTAGAAGACAACCAAACCCAGAAGACCAGAACTTAGAAATTTAAGTTACTACTAACATAAACTGCAGACTCCGAAAGGGGATCCTAGTGTCATTTGATCATAACAACAAGTGGGAAGGATTAAAACCACTGTATAAAACAAATCATATATAAACCAAATCGTTGTTACATTTTTAATTCTTTATTCCAAAGGATTCTTGATTTTTGTGTAGCTTCCAAATTGTTGAATCATCTTCACTTCAGTCTGCTTCATCAGCGATCTTCTCACCCTTTGAGATCAAAAGCACAATGTGAGAGAGGGTTGAATGGTCATGAACACACAAACACCAGATAGGTTCAGTGGAACCATGTATACCGTCACGATACCAGTGGCAACGAGTCACACACTAACCAGTGAAGAATCAGCTAAATGGTAACCAAATATTCCTCTCCCATGTACGTTTTTCTTATAGATATTCCTTTTCTATGTTCTGTGTCCCTGCAAGGCATGGGCAATGTTTCAAATGAGAACCGTCTACCTCTGTAGATTAAATAAAAGGTTCAGTTCAGAATTCCTTGTAGGTTACCCAGATCAATATAAACCTGATGAAGGCCAGAGGACATAACAGCGGAAACATTGTAATAATAACAACCAAGATGTGGACAATAGCCTGAATATTGTCATTAGTCTCAACTGCTTCACTCGTTAGGGCGAGGACATAAAGGCAGAAAAAACAGACACCCTCCTCTAAGATGGTCTGTGGCTCTCAGGAATCCCATTCTTTGATGTTGTCTGACTTTCTTGTGTTGTCCTCACTTACATCTGCCTACAACAGTGCCTTGCATAATGGTTTTGCAGAGACCAAACCATGACATCTTATGCTTAATAACGGTGAAGAGAGATTTCTGTCAGCACACAAGACTTTCAACCTTTTCTCTGTACATAGTCATTGGTTTTGTGCTCAGTAGGAAATGTGGAGAAGCTTTCTCAAGCATTTGTTCTCAAATTCCTAGATCCTTCTTCCTGGAACCAGGAGTGTTCAAATTTCACACCCATAGAGGAGGATGGGGCTGACAAGTGATTTGTAGAGCTTGAACTTGGTATGGAAGATGATGCTGCTCTTCTATATCCTTTCCAGTCTGGCTCTCATGGCTGTGGTGATCCATGT